CTCCTGGGCGCGGGGGCGGCTGCACGACCCGACGGCTCCCGCCGCCCCGCTGACCCGCGGACCCACGCCCCGCCGCAGGCAAGGCCTGGAAGGAGCTGAGCGCGGCCGAGAAGCGGCCTTTCGTGGACGAGGCGGAGCGGCTGCGCGTGCAGCACCTGCGCGACCACCCCAACTACAAGTACCGACCCCGCCGCAAGAAGCAGGCGCGCAGGGCCCGGCGGCTGGAGCCCGGCCTCCTGCTCCCGGGCCTGGCGCCGCCGCCCGAGCCCTTCCCCGCCTTCCGCGAGCTGCCCGCGCTGGCCGCCGACCTGGACGGGCTGGGGCTGCCCACGCCCGAGCGCTCGCCGCTGGACGGCCTGGAGCCCGGCGAGGCCGCCTTCTTCCCGCCGCCCGCCGCGCCCGAGGACTGCGCGCCACGGCCCTTCCGCGCGCCCTTCGCCGCGGCCGAGCTGCCCCGCGAGCCGGGCGCCTACGGGCCGCCGCTGGCCGCGCCGCTGGCCGGCCTCTACTACGGCGCGGGCCCCTACGCCGGGCCGCTGTCGCCGCCGCCCGACGCCGCGCAGCCCGACGCCGCCGACCCGCTGGCGCCCGGCGCCGAGCTCTGGGCCGACGTGGACCTCACCGAGTTCGACCAGTACCTCAACTGCGGCCGGACTTGGGCGGACGCCGCGCTCCCGTACCACGTGGCGCTGGCCAAACGGGGCCCGCGGCCCATGTCCTGCCCCGAGGAGAGCAGCCTGATCGCCGCGCTCTCGGACGCCAGCAGCGCCGTCTACTACAGCGCCTGCATCTCGGGCTAGACCCGGAGCGGCCGCGCGCTTGCTTTTTCTTTACGCGCTACAATATATTTAATTTTTGAGTAAGTGTGTAACCTTTTCCTTCCAAGGCCCGGTTGCCCCGGGGGCGGCGGGGGGGAGGGGCCCTGAACTTGCCTTTTTGAGTCATTCCCAGAGGGTCCAAGCCCCAACTCGGCCCCGCACCCTCATCCTTCACTTGATTTAGGACCCAGAGGGTCCCTGCCAACAGCCCCCTCCCAGCAAGACTGCTGCCCACAGACAGTCCTCTGGGCCCCACCTGCCCAGAGGAACCGCGGGTCGGCACAGGGGCCCCTCCCCCGCCCACCTGCAGCACCCCCTCCCGGCCCTGCTTCACTGGGTCCCAGTCGCTGTCTCACGCAGACAAGACCTACGAGACCGCCCACAAGTGAGTCCCCAAGGCAAGTGCTGCCCAGCCCGCAGCTCCTGCCCTGGTGGACGGTCATGGTCCCCAGGGGCAGCTGCGTGCCCTCGGCTTCTGTGAGGGAGCTGTGTGGCCATCGCTCCGGGGACGTGTCAGACTGGCCACAGCAAGCACAGGCCCATATGTGCGCCGCCGTGTGAGCTGCTCCGCGGGACCTCCTGGGCAGAGACAGGGTGGCCACACCACTGTAGAGACAGGCATGACCCTGTGACCAGCGGCAGAGTTGGGGACTGCCCTTCCCCAGCAGCAGAGCCCAGAAAACTGAAGACACTGGACAGATGGACAACTGTGGGGACTGCAGTGGTCTGGAGGGAGGAGCCCCAGGCAATGGAGGCAAAGAGCCCTGGGGAAACAGACAGCACTGGACAGCGCTTGGGGCTGAGACCACTGTTGAATCCTGTCCTCTGCGGACAGCCACTCCACCCACCTCACTCTGGCTGTGCCTCTGCCCCCAGACCTGGGCAGTTGTCCAGGTGCACCCCAGTTCAGGCACAGCAGGGGCAGCCTGAGGGACAGCCTTGGGACTCTGGCGTTGGTGCAGCCCTGCCCTCCCGAGATAGCGGAAGGAGGGAAGCCCTGAGTGGGGTGACAGCGCCCTGGTGTAGGGCCCACCCTGCTCTCCACCTCCCGAGCATGCGTGGGCCAGTGCCATGGCCGTCCCCAGCCGAGTGAGGGACCCAGGATGGAATGGGGAGTCTTGGTGAGGACTAAATTTCCTATGAGGCCTGAGACGGCCGGAAGAGCTTCTGCTTAGAGGCTCAGAGCAGGGCAGGGTCTTGAAGGACCCCCATGCGGGGACCACTACCCTCCTTCAGTACCCCCGTGCCCCAGCCCTTTTCCCACTGAGCCAGGCCCCCAGGAATAGGCCCCAGGAGATTTGCTCCAGCCAGAAGCTCCATCCTGAGCCAAGGTGTCAGCCTGCCCAGCCTGCAGCCCAGACAGAAGGCAGGAGAGGGGTGTGGACAGCAGGCATGCCCTCTCCCTGTCCCCAGGACGCCTGGGCTGTCTCATGGGGTCAGTCTTTAGCCCACTCAGCCCCCACGTCACACACATCCTACCCAGCGGTTCAGTGGTTTTCACTTTATTTAATCTGGTTTGAGGGCTACACCCAGAGGTGCTCAGGGCCGCTCTGGCCTCTGTGCGGAGGCCCCTGCAGTTCCTCGAACCTGTGCCCAGCCCCCTGGGTTCTCAGTATACCCAAAGGCACCCCTTTCTGATTTTACTCAGTGCTGTCCCTACTCAGTTGTTCTGGGGGATGTCACCCCTTGGGAGCATTCTGGGTTTTTGTGGGGGGTTACACCCAGCGGTGCTCAGGGCTTAATCCTGGCTGTGTGCTAAGGGGTCACTCCTGGAGGGCTCGGGGTCATATGGGGAGCTGATGGCCAACCGGCGATACGCTATTCATTGCCCAGCCCTCGGGAACCCTTTATAGCAAGGCAGCGGCACCTCATTCCTCCCAGACTTGGGGGCTGAGGTTGGACACCTAGAATGTGATGGGCCTCATGGGTGCTCACGCCCGGGGTGGAAGCGCTACCTGTCTTGAAGGGCCTGGTTTGGGTGGTCCCAACACTCGGTGCTCAGCCTCGCCCCACAGGGCAGATGGGCCTTAGGCCACAGACAGAGCCAAGTGGGCCCCCAAACCGAGGCTCGGCCCTCCACCGTGGTGGTGCGCCCACCACTGCAGCCCAGAGGGTCCTGACGAGGTGTGAGAATGGGGGCTGGAGGCTGGGTCTAAAGCCCGGGTGGAGAAATGACAAGGCGAGCTCAGGCTGAATGGAGCGAACCAGCTCGCAGCGAGCGTCAAGGCAGGGGCGCGGGTGCGGCTCCCCTCGCGCGCCAACCCTGCACCTGGAACGCCGCCACACCCGTCCCCTCTTCCTCAGCCCCGGCTGGCAGCCCAGCCTGCAGCCTCCGCGTCCCGGCGCGGACACGCCCCAGCAAGCCCCCCGACCCGTCCTGGCCGCGCCCAACCACGCCCACGTCCAGCTCCTAGCCACGCCGGTGGCCGTCCTGGCCCCGCCCCCGCCAGGCTCCGCCCCGCCCGCCCGGAAAACAGGAAGGGGCGCCGGGCGGCGGGGGCAGCGCAGGAAGCGGCCGGCGGGCGCGGCGCTTATCTCGGGCCGCAGCCCGGACCCCTGGCCCCGCGCCCCGCGCAGGCCGGGCAGGGGGCGCCGGGCGGCGGACAGCGTCTGCTGCCCTGGCGGGGAGCCCAGCCGCCGCCGGCCCCGCGTCCCGCGCAGGTGCGGGCCGCGACGGTTCCTGTTTGTGCGGCCGGGCGCCCCGAGGAGGGCAGGATGGACCGTCCCCGGGCCCCGGCGGGGACAATGGGCGCCGCACCTGGCCCGCCCCCCCGCGCGCTGTGTTTGTGCTCAGTGGCCACAGCTGGGCCGGCCCGCTCGGCCCGGCCGGGCGCAGCTGCTTCCCCTCCCGGGGGTCGCCGCCCCCGCGCGCCGGGGGACTCGGGCCCCGGGGCGTCTGCCGCTCGCCCGAGCTCCAGATGTGCCTTCAAAGGCTCCCGGCCCGGGGGGCCGCGGGGCCCGCCCGCCCCGCCCGGCTCCCGGCCGGCGGTTGCACAACCCTGGACAGCGCCCGAGGCCCGCGCGCGGCCGGGCGTGCGCGTTTCGGGATGGGCTCCGGGGGCGTCCGGCCCGCGTGGCCAAGACGGGGAGCAGGGCGGCCGACAGGGGCTCCTGAGCGTCATTTCTGGGCAGTTCGGCGTCGCTCCGGGCCTGCCCCTAGACGGGACCGAGAATTGGCCGCAGGGCACACGGCCCTGTCCATCCACCTCAGGAAAGGCTGGCTGTGCGCGGCCTCACCGGGAAAGCCCTGGTTCACGGGGCACCCGTGGGTGCGGCCCGACCAGGGCGTGGCGGCAGGGGCTGCCCTACCTCGCGCACCCCTGAGAACGCGGCTGCTCTGGGCCCAGCTCGGAACACCGGTGACAGCCCAAGAAATAAGGGCGAGGAGGCGTGGGGCCCCGCCGAGGGCCCGGAACGCCCCGGGATCCCAGAGAGGTACGGGCACGTGTCTGTGCCCCCACGCCCCCAGTGGGGCTTTGGGGGGGGGGGGCTCAAGGGCTGCTGCAGGGCCCTGCCAGCCCCCTCCTCCCCTCCTGAGTTTGGGGTGTCAGTGCTGCCCCAGCCAGGGGAGCTAGAGGCCAGCGGGTTCCCCTGCTTCGGCCTGCGGAGCCGAGCCGCCCCCCACACCCCTGCCTGAACCGGTCTCCCAGTAGGGCCTTCTCCGCCCTGTCAGGTCCCTTGGGATGGTCCCTGTGCGCCCACGGGCTCCCCAGGTTAGAGGCAGGGACTCCCAGAGCAACAGGCCAGGCCCTGTCCTCACCCTGCATGTCCAAGCCCACCTCCCACATCACTAACTTGGGGATCTCCCCTGAGCCTGACTCACCCCAACAGAAAGCATGTGCCTGCATGGGGGCCGCGCCCTGGGGGGCGGCTGTGTCTGCCAGGGTCAGCGGGGAGAGTTGAGGGCACTCCGGGCTGAGCCCGCCCGACCCCAGCCCGCACTTCCTGGCTGTGCCTCGTGGTGCCTCATTTCCTCGGCTCTAGGCTGGGCAGTAGCTTCTGGGCTGCAGAGGACCCACGGGGTAGTGGGCCTCGGGGAGGCCACGGCCACGGGCCTGCCTCCTGCCGACGCTGCCCGGAGGAGGGGCGAGTGGTAGGTGTTGAGGAGCCCAGCACTGGCCCCTCTGCTCCTCCCTCCAGCGAGGGTCCCCAGAGCACAGGAAACGCCAGGTCCACTTGCAGTCAGGGCCGGACGGCCTTCCCTCCTGGGCCATCTCCTTTATCCGGCGGTTTCTCCCCGAGTTCACAAAGCGCCCCGGGCAGCCCGCCCTCCGTCCCGCCCCGTCTCTGCTCCCAGGCGGCGGCCACGTGCGGGTCCGGCCAGGGCAGCGTCCGGGCGGCGTCCGAGGCCTCAGCGTGCAGCGCGAAGAGCTTCTCCCAGCACGTGGCCACCGCGTCCAGGGCGCGCAGCAGCCGCCGCCGCCGGCCGCCGCGCGGGGCGTCCGGGCGGGCGCGGGGTGTCCGCGCGCCGCCGCCGTCCAGTGCCGCGCAGTGCAGCCGCATCGCCGCCTCCGTGCGCGCCGCCGCCGTCCACGCCGCCCGCTCCAGCGCGCCGCGGCGGCCGGGGCGCGCGGCCCCTCGCAGCGTGCGCCCCAGGGCCGAGATGGACAGCAGGATGTCGTGCTCCTGGGGGGGGGGGGGACACGGGGCTGGGCAGAACGCGCGCGGCCCCTCGCAGCGTGCGCCCCAAGGCCGAGATGGACAGCAGGATGTCGCGCTCCTGGCGGGGCACGGGCCTGGGCAGGAGCGCGCGCGCAGTGGGCGGGGGCGCGGGGACGCGCCTACCTGCTGAGCGCCGCAGGAGGTGCCGGCGCTTGGTCCGGCCGGGCCCTTGCGGTGGACCCGCGCCGTCCCGGGCCCGAAGCGCCTCACGGCCGCCTGCAGGTCCTCGAAGATGAGCCCGCGGTAGTGGCGCAGCACGTCCGGGACGCTGCAGGCCCGGAGCCCGGCACTGCCCCGCGCCAGGCCCAGACCCAGCAGCAGCGGCGGCAGGAGGGCCCAGAGTACCGGCCTGAGGAGCACCTGCAAGGGTTGCGGTGAAGCGCCCGCGCCGGGAGCGGGGGTCGGGGATGGAGCACGGCCGGGCCCGGGACCAGCGCGGCGAGGGCTGAGCCCCAGACCACACCCTGCTGGAAGGGAGAGGCTTGGGGGATCCCCCAGAGGGCAGCCATGCGAGCCCAGGGGAGCGGCCGGGACGCGGGCGCCCAACCCACCGCACAGTCCGCGCGGGTCGGCCAAGGCCGCTGCCCGCTGCCGCCGCCGCCGGCGGACCCGGACCCGGGGCTCTGCACACCCTGTATTTGCCTAGCGCCAGCAGCGTGAAGGAGCTGGGGGCCTTCCCGGAGGGTCACGCCGCTCACCATGGGCCTCCCAGGGTCCTGCTGTCCCTCACTGCAGACACCGGGCCTCAGACATGGTCCTGGGGTCCTCTGCGGTGAGCGTGGCGGCCACTCCAGGCTGACGCTCGCCCGCCCGCCCGCCCGCCGGCCCGCCGGGGCTTCCCTGGGCTGGAGCGCAGCGGCTGCAGCTTTTGAAGTCCTGCTCCAAGCCGGGGGGAGGAGGGAGCGGGGGTAGGCGCCCAGCCCTGCCCTCTCCCCACCCCCGTCCAATCACTTCTTCACTTCACCTGACCAGAGGCCACAGCCAGCCCGGGGCGCGGGGCCCCTTCCCCTGCCCCAGCCGGGAGCTCGGGGGAGCTCACAGGCTGAGGGTTGGGCGTGAGGGGCCTGAGGGGGGAGGTGGGCCAGGGCAGCAGGGGCCTCCCTCCATGGCCCACTAGGCCCTTGCCCAGGCGGAGCCGGGTGGGCGGGGCACCGGGGCTCAGCCCCTCCCGCTGGGGGTCCTGCCCCAGCAGGCCCCACGCAGGGACTTCCCGGGCTCCGCTGGGCCAGCAGGCCGGTGAGGAGGGGGTGTCTCCCTCCCAGGGGCTCCAGCGGCCCAGGCCCTGCCCCAGCAGGAGGAACCTCACGGGAGCGGCAGACACGCCTCTCCAGGAGAGCACCTGGGGAAAGGGACCCTTCCGAGGGCGCAGGTCGGGGGAGAGGCAGGCCCCACACCGGCCCCATGTCCTGCCCACCGGCGTTCCTGCCCGCCCAGCTGCACACCACTGCAGGGGGACAGGGGCAAGAGGCATGCCCCCGCCCGCCTCCTGGTACAGCAAGGGTCGAGCCAGAGCGTCACACGGCATCCATGCACGAGACATGGTGGACACACACATGGCCCATGGCCTCTTGGCACCAGTGGTCTCTGGCCACAAGACTCCCAACCCAGAAGCGACACACAAAGAGCCTCTTGGGAACGGAACAGATGGAGCAGCGAAGGGGGTCCTGCTGCCAAGGGACGGCTGCAGAGCCTCAGCACACCCCCCATCCAGGAGACAGGACAGGAGGGAACCCAGCCCAGCGGCCCCCAGTGACTGGTCAGTGCCACCCCCCCCCCCCCCACCACACAGTGGTCAGCGCTCTGCTGCAGGCTGCAGGCAAGGGGCTCACAAACGAGGGACAGAGAGGGCTGCAGGGATATGAAGGCCGGTGAGGGGATGGCGGAGGGACCCTGGAGGACCACCGGGAGCATGGAGTGTAGTGGACGAGGCGGAAGGCGGCCTGGCGGGCAGGTGTGGCCTGCACTAGCTTTAATGCGGGGAGCAGCGGGTGGGCACTCAGAAGCTATTCTTGATGCTGGCTGCCACCAGCACAAGGATCTCCCCCATCTTCCTCTGCCAGTTGGCGATGTCCTTGGACACGGCGCACCACAGCTCCCCGTGCCGCGGCTCCGCGTTCTCACAGCGCCGGCGGACCTCCTCCCGTTGCTCCTGGGAACAGCGCACGCAGGGGTGCGTGAGGAGGGCGGCTCTCCCAGTATCCCAGCCGGCCCTGGTGGGCACCACCCCAGGTTCTGCGGGCCCACGCCCTGCAGCAGGCGGCGCCCCACTTAGGCCCGCTGCTCACCTCTGTGCCGTGCTGCAGCTCGAACTTGTAGAAGAAGGCCCAGGCATCCCCCAGGTCAGAGTCGATCTTCACTGTGCGGTGGAACCACTCCCGGGCCTTGGTGATCTTCCGCTCACTCCAGAACAGTCTGTGGGAAGGGGGGTGGGGCCAGGTCAGCAGACGCAGGCACTGGCCGCCGAGTCCCCGAGTTCAGCGTCTGCCCCTCAAGGATCTGACCCAGCGGTTCCTTTCGGGCCAGGTGGCGCTGGGACTGCACCTGGGTGAGCCCCTTGAGCCAGGCCCGTGCCGTTCCGGGTTTCCTGGGTACTGTGCAGGACAGGTACATGGCCTCCACCTCCAGGGACCACTCCCACCACCATCCACACTCGCACAACAGGACCCTTAAGTTCGAATTCCTCCAAACTACTGCGTTCTTCTGGGTCAAACGCAGAGATGAGACGGAGATCCCAATGCTGTTACGCCCCTCCCCCCCCCCCCCCCCCCCCCCCCCGACCCAGGCTCCAGGAGGAAAGCAGCCGATGCTAAGCAGATGGCCAAGCGACTCCGAGACCAGCCCGGGAGAGGCCTGGACACTGGAAGCCCCAAGCAGCCAGAGGGAGCAGGAGCAGGGCTGTTCCGCTCTGATAACTTGATTGTTTTTTAAGCCCTGTGGTCAGATAAACTGTGATTGAAAGAGCACAAGCCCAGATAGCAGCACAGGAGCGCTGTGAGGAGGGGCTCACTTATCTCAGCACAGCCTTTTACGAGGCTTTATGGCTCCCCATTGAGGGGCCCCTCGGCAGGAGGCTGGAGCCCTGGGCAGCCCCAGCAGCACCCTGTGGGCTCCCCAAAACCTCCCCGCGCGGCCCCGCCCAGACCCTCCATGCACGGCATTCCCTGCCCCCCACAACCCCCTCGAGAGAGCGCGTGTCCCAACGGGGCTCGCTGGGCTGGGCTGGGCTGGGCTGAGGCTACACGGGGGGATGCCCTGACACCACATACACGTCCTTTGAAGCAGAATTTGAATTATGGTGGGTCAGAGTCACAAAGTGTGCTGCAATCCAGAACGCAGAGTGTGACCCCGAGGTGGCAGAGCTGGGGGTGAGGGAGAGGGACCCACAAAGCCAGGGCCTCAGGGCCAAGGCCCACCAGGACTCACGTACTTGGCCACTGCCAGCAGCACATGGGGGTCGTGCTCACACTTCTTCAGGGCGTCCACACTCTTGGTCTTCCTCTGGGGCCGGGCCTCCAGGAAGATGGCCTCAGACCACAGGACACCTGGAACCAGACAGGAAGCCCACTGTCTGTTCGAAGGAAGCTCTGCCCAGCCATCAGAGACCACCGATGCGTACCAACCACATGTTCCCTGGGCCTGTCTGCCCCGGGGGAGCTCAGGGGAGAACCCGGAAGCCTCTGTCTCCCCCAGAGCACTGCAGTGCGGACACCACACCTGAGCCGAGTGTGGCAAAACCACCAGAGTGGCACAGCCCTGCATACAGAGAGTCCTGTCTTGAGGCCAGAGGGTACAGCACAGAGGCTCTCGCCTTGCACGTGGCCAACCCAGGCTCAACCCCCTGCACCGTGTCTGGACTCCTGAGCCCCCCAGGAGTGATCCCTGAGCGCAGAGCCAGGAGTCTGAGCACTGCTGGGTGTGGTTTAAAAACTGAAACCACCAAAGTAACCTCTGCCTGTCTCCAGCCTTCACCCTCCTCACCGGAACTGGGGCACTCCTGCAGTGCCTTGGCCATGAGTGTGTTGGCAATGTTCTTCAGCCCGGCACGGTACTCCAGCCTCACGGACTCCAGCCTGGGAGAGTGCAGAGAAGTCCGAGCCCCGGCCTGCCCCATGCAGAGCCCCTCGGAGGCTCAGCTCTCCAGCAGTGCTGCTGTGGGCTAAACCCACACCTTCCCGCAGACCCCTCCCTCCAGCCTGTGTCATGGCTGCCTGCGTGAGCCATGCGTTTGGGCGAGAATGTTTCCCAGCCTCACCCAGGTCACCTCTGCTCCCCGAGAACCCCACCTGCACATCAGATGACCAGAGGCAGTGCAAGCCCACCCAAGGTGCAACTGAGGCTCAGGGTCAGCCCCCGATGGGCTGAAGCCGGAGAGCAGGAACCCGGGTCCCAGAACTCACCACAGACCAGGGTTCTTGGGATTCTTCAGGCGAGACTTCTCCAGAATGGCCCGCGCCCGGGTCAACTGCCCGATCTTCTCTTCCAGCCGCGACAGCAGAAGCCACAGCGGTGTGGAGTGAGGACACTTCTTCAACTGCAGCAACAGAAGCAGGGCTGGCATGAGCAAGACCCAGCCCCACGCCCAGGGCCGCTCACCCCCCGGCTGTAGGCCCAGGCCCCCCTCCTGGGCCACTCAGCCACCCCCCCCCCCCCCCCCCCCGCTGCAGCCCCGAGGCACCCGCCCCCCGCCAGGCGCTCACCCCCTGGCTGTAGGCCTCCCGCGCGCGCTCCGTCAGCCCCTCCTGCTCTTCCACCTGCCCCTTCATCATCCAGAGCTTGGGGAAGTCCTCGTAGTGCCGCAGCGCCTCCTCGCAGAGCTCCTGGGCGGCGGCGATGTTGCCCAGCACCCACTCCAGCTTCACTGACTTCATGAACACCTGCAGGCAGCCACAGCACCAGCGGCCCTGGATGACAGCGCACCCCCGCCCGCCCGCCCCGCACTGCCACACGTGGACGTGGCTGAGCAGCTCCTGAATCCTGGAACAGAGACACCCGGGGGACAGTCCCCGGGGTTGCCGCCTGCGTCTGCGCCCTGGCTCACCCTGGCGGTGGGCGCGCTGCTCCGTGCCTTGGCCAGCAGCCTCCTGGCACGCTCGTACTCGTTGTTCTCCGACTCCAGCTTCACGGCCGCCAGCCAGATCTCCTCACTGTTGGGGTTGGCCTGCAGGCGAGCAGAGGCGAGGCTCAGAGGGGAGTGGGCAGGGCAGGCTCCTCCTGACCAGCAGCAGCCACCTCGCTCTGGGAAGGACAGCCAGAGCCAGGCCCTTTCCGGGCTCCCACGTGACCGGGCTGGCCCACTGGACTCAGGCCATCCTGCCCGCGGCTGCAGCCGACTCCTCTCTGGGAACCAACACGGGTCTCTCCCATCCTCTGCAGCCAACCCAGGGCCTCCATGAAGGCAGGACAGAAGGATGACTGGAATGGCAACGCAGCCTAGGCTCCGATCCGCCACAGCCCTGGCGGCAGACAGAGCCCTCGGTGCTGGTGGGGAGTGGGGCCCAGACGGGGGACAGCGTCCACTAGCAGCCGGACCGGCCTGCAGAGACCAGCGCACTGCTGAGCCCCCCAAGGACCAGTCGCGCATGCATGTGCCAGGAAAACAGGCTGCAGACAGACTCCGACCGACAGTCCCACGGAAGGAGGGGGCTCAGGGAGGGGCACTGTTCTCCAGGGCTCCTCCGGTGTCCCCCTCCGTGCTGGGCCCCACTCGCTGAGGAGCCCTCACTGCGGGCCAGCGTCCACCGGTGAGCAGAGGCTGGGAGCGGTCTGAGCCCTGGCAGCACCTCTCACCCACCTGGAAGGCCAGAGCCAGGATGCTCCTTGCTGCGGGCACATCCCCTGCCAGCCACTTGGACTTGGCCCCCATGAGCCACAGCACCTCCGCTTTGGGGCAGTGGGCCACGGCCCTCTGCAGAAGCGCTTCCAGGGACTCCCTGTGGAAGACACAGGCCGTGAGACAGTTACTGCTCCAAAGTTCGGCACCACGGATGATGAATGATTGACCAGCTTTTACGACGGGGAGAGTGTGGGGAAATCTCTGCTTCATAAAGGCCCCACAGCCAGCCTCCACGAGGTGCGACAAAGCAGCGCATTGTTCACACAGCAGAGCCGACAGCCCTTTTATAGCCGTGTGTCCCAGGCAAGCGATAACTCCACAGTCTGGGTGACAGGAAAGCCTTTCATCTTTAGCCGCAGATCAGCAGATGAAGACAGTGACCCCAGGAGTGCGCTCCAGCACCCAGAGAACTCGGAGGCCGGGTCACCCTGGAGAGCTTGTGCAGACACTCTCGCGTGGGGGACAGGGCTGCCCTGCAGGGACCTTGGCGCCCAGTCCCTAGCCCTCACGGTTTGCACCAGCCTGACCGAAGGGCCCCAGAGCCAGGAGGGGCACTGGCCAGAGCCCAGCCCTGGAGGCCCGCGGCGGGCGGCTTCAGGGGGGCTGGCCAGGAAGCTGCCGCCCTGCGGAGGAAGCCCAACAGCAGCTGGGGCAGGAGCGCGGGAGCTGAGCAGAGCGCCCAGGGAGCCCAGGCGGAGGAGCGTCCCTGGGGCCCTGTCCACCCTGCGCCGGGGCTGGAGCCGCTGTCCCAGGCAGAGGGCCTGTGTCACGCAACCGCCCACTCACACAAGAAATCGCCAACACCTGATTTAATAGGCAGCTCTGGCCAGTGGGGAAAACGGAAAGGTTTTTTCAATTAAACTGCACAATTAGAGAAAATTGTCAAAGACCTCCGCAGAGCACAGAATCCAGCCCCAACCCGAAGCAGCCAAGCACAAATGAAAACCAGGCACCCCGCCTACACTGCCAGGGACCATGTGGCACCGAGGTGTGGCTCTGCCCCACTCACTGCAGGCAGCCCTCGGGCACCAGCGCCTGCTGGCTCAGCGGCGGGTGCTGGCAGAGGTCCTGGCCCTCAGAAGCTCGCGGCCAAGCCCGCGTCTCCACCTTTGCACATGCAGCCCAGCCCCGGGGGGCAACACCCTCCCACCTACCTGGTGCCATGGTTCTTCTCAAAATAGGCTGCGCGCAGCCACACACTCTTCTTGCTGGGGAAGACCTGCAGGGCGTAGGCGTAGATGGCCCTCGCACACTCCAGGGCACTGTGGGCCACGCACTGCAGAGAGACCAGGCGTGAGGACACAGCCCCCGCGCAGAGCAGCCCTGGGTTCTGTCCTGGCACCACCTGGGCACCACCCAAAGTGCAGCCAGCCCTCAGGGTTCTGGCCCCCGACACAACAAAGATGATCCCTGGTGGTCGGGGGCTCGTGAACACTGGACCCTGTAGCTTCCCAGCTCGCAGAAGCCCCGACAAAGGAGGGGTGGGCGCCCACGCAGCCCGGCTCACACTGTCTGCATCCTCCATCCACGTGTGTTTCCGGTCCTCCTCCTCGATCCCGATGCCGATCACAGCACGCATGACTGCCTGGCAGGTGGCCACACTCCCAGCCTTGTCACACTCCTCGGCATCCTGGGACAGGGAAAGCCAGATGATATGTGCCTCCCTGGGGCAGGGCCTCTGATGCTCCCAGGCCTCCCAGGGCCCCTGGACTGGCTCACATCAGCCCTTTCTTTTGTTTTTGGGCCACACCTGGTGTGCTCAGGGCTTGAGAGCATAATGAAGGCTGAGCACTGCCCTGCCCACTGTGCTTCCTCTGGAGGGCCCGTGTCTGCTGCAGAGCAGCACTGGGAAGAACTTGACCAGCCCCAACAACAACATGAAGCACCCCTAGTCCCAGTCTCCCTCAAAACCCTCTGCAAAGGCCTCCAGTAGACAGCCAGGGTCAGCAGAGACCCATGTGGCAGGAGCTTCAGGAGCACAGACGTCAAGACGGACACATACACACACACACACACACACACACACACACACACACACACAGTGGCTGGTAGGGGCACTGGCGTAAGGATGGACAGATATGGACACACACGGAAACACACACACAGAGTGGCTGGTAGGGACACTGGCGTCAGGACGGACAGACGGACAGAGACGAACAGACACACACACACACACACACACACAGTGGCTGGCTCTCTAGCAGGAGCTGCAGAAACATCTCATCAGAAGATGCAGAAACACGGTGCCACGTGCCGTGAACAGCTCCAGGAAGCCACCCTGTCCCGAGGCTGTTCTGTGTACGGAACGCTCACTAGCTGTGGGCCACACTGAAGCGTGTGCTGACATACCTGTGGCAAGAGTGCGGACGGCTGTGTGTGGACACAGCCCTCCTGCGGTCGTTAAAAAGCTCCCCGAACAGCTGCACATACTGGCCCTCCCCCCCACCGTGCAAGCACATTCCCGGGGTGCAGAGTGGAGGACCTTCCCAGGAACCGACGGGCAGGTGTTTCCCCGCGCTGAGCAGTCACAAGCAGCACAGCCCCAGGAAGTGCAGCCCTACACCGACACGCTCCCCCCACGCCAAGCCTAAGGCCAAGCATCTGCCTCGGGAGCACCTCCACCAAGGGAAGCTACGCTGCTTGTGGAAGGAGCACTGGGGAAAGGGCACTCGAGAGGAGCAGTGACAAGACGGCTCCTGAGGAGCAAAGGGACGTGCCTGGCCAACTGGGCTGCAAACCGAGGAGGCATTCTGGGGCTCACACAGCTGTCCTGGCCCCGGGTGACTGGCCGTAAGGTTTGAAAGAGATAAAAAAGGTCCCAGAGGGCTCAGAGTACAGTGCTCTGGGCTTGCACATGGCCCACCGGGTTCCACCCCAGCCATCACATCCTTACCCCAGATGTGGGTGTACCCTGAAAACCAAGCAGGTGAGAATGACCTTGAGTCCAAGCCCCATCGACAGCTGAACGCAGCTCTCTGGGAGGCAGGTGCTGCTAGCCAAGGGCCCTGCCTTCGGAAACAGCCTGGACAGCAGCGAGGGTCCAGGAAGCAGTGGGCTGGGAGGCCAAGAAGGCAGACGGTCACAAAGCGCCGAGGACTGGGGCACTGTCAAAGGGAACCCAGACCCACCCAGCGCAGGCCGGGGCTTCCAGCAGTGTCCTGACGAAGAGACCAATCTGCAGGGGCAGGCCAGGAAGGACCACCCAGAGCCAGGCACTGGGAGGACAGCGCAGGGGCAGGCAGCAGCAGGAGAGACCCAGGGCCAGATTCCGGGAAAGTGCAGCAGAGAAAGAGCAGCCGGGGCGTCAGAGCCTCCCCTGAAGAGCATAGGACAGACTGGAGGACAGAATACACCAGACTGGAGGACCAGCCAGACGACCAGCAGAAAACAGCCTTTAGGCTCACAAGCTGCACGGGCCTCAGAAAGGGGATACCTCCTTTGGAGGGGTGGTGGGAAACCCTATTATGTCTTAACAGACCACTTGGTGGACCCAGGTAGTGCGAGGGACGATAGCAGGGCCTGAAAGATGAGACTCCTGCAGTGCCAAAGGTGGACCCCAGGGTCTCACACACACACAAAGAGGCTCTACCGCTGCGCCTAACACCACTGAAGAATTTCATCTTAGGGGTGGGTGGGGGTGCCACACACCTGGCAGCGTTCAGGGGCTACTCCAGCATTATGCTCCAGGATCACTCCTGGCAGTGCGTAGGGTCATAGAAGCGATGCCCGGGGCTCAAACTGGGGCCGGACGCTTGCTAGCCAAGAGCCTAAACCCCCGTACTGTACCTCTGGCTCTGCGAGGAGGCCCAAGCAGCGTTCAGACCGTCCGAAGAACCCACTGGACACTCTGCTAACTGGGCCAGTGGCTCGGTGGAGAGGCCCAGACTGCCCTGGTGGTGAACTGGATACTCAGTGCCGGGAACTAGACCTGGGCTCGGCCTGGCCCCCACAGGCTGCCAAGTGGGGGCTCCCTGCCAGAGGCCCACCAGAAGACCAGGAGGCCGAGTCTGCCGGAACAGCTCTGAGACAGAGGCCCTGCCCTCTCTGCTGGCTCCTGTGTCCACGGACAACGGTGCGGCCACCCACTCAGCACCAGTCCTTTCCCCAAAAGAAGCCCTTCAGAACCAACTCCAGGAAGCGCCGAGGCCTCGGCTCGGTGGCCAGTTCAGTGTGGACAGTCCCTGTGCAGTGAGGCCTGAGCACCAGCCGCCCCGATCCTCACCTGAATCCACTGCTCACGGTTGATCTCCACGCCATTGGCCCGGAGCGAGGTGATGGCACGGTCGATGATCTTCTCCACCATCTGGGTGTTCCCGTTGGCTTCCTCCAACTTGGCAGCTGTGATCCAGATGTGCCGGTCTGTCGGGATATTCTCTCGGGCCTTATTTAAGACCTTGCGGGCATTCTCGTAGGTCTCGAGCCTCGCCAGAGCAAGCCAGAGCTGAGGAAGACAGCACCAGGGGACGGGAGGACGGGATGAGAGCACCCAACAGCAGCAGGACTCCGAGGGGGTCCAGTCTGCTTCACACTTGCTCAGTGACCCTCTGGTGACCACAGCAGGCTCCTTGTATGGGGTACACGGAGTGCTAGACTCAGGCCAGGAGTCGGGGGCAGGCAGGCAGACCTCAGCAGCTGACTCAGCCATTTCATCACCAGAATGGGCACAGGCCCTATTTGTTTTCAGGGAAATGAATCAAGATCGATTCTGTGCAGATTTCACAATGCCCCAGATGGTAATTAAAGACATGCTGGACGACCGTGGAAACAAGAGCTGTGAGTGGAGTGAGCTCCAAGGCAGGGTGAGCCGCAAGAACACAGCCCCCTCCACTGGGCCCACTGAGGAGCTGAAGGAGGCCAGGACTCACCTCCACACTAGTGGGGCAGCACTCCACAGCACGGCTGAGCATGATCCGAGCATCTTCCGGCTCTTCCAGTTCAACGGCCGCCTTCCACAAGCGAACGGAGTTCGGCACATGCTCAAGGGCTGGGCAAGGTCAAGGAACGAAGTAAGGGGAAAGGGTGAGAGAGCAGGGCCGAGCCCTCGCTTGGAACAGCAGGCGCACCGGGTCTCTCGGGGCTGAGGCACACACACACACAGACCCAGAAACGCACCACATGCGTGAGCACCGACGACGGAGGAGCTGGAACCTGGAGGTCCCGCACCTTCTCTGCTCCCAGATACCTCTGAACACAGCGTGGAGACGGAGCCACACACACTGGACCAGCAATGAGCTCCCCACTAGAAAGGGCCCCCAGGGCGCAAGCACAGGCACCAGCGAGGAAACAGAAGAGAGCTGACACAGGGTCTGCACCTGCTTGGCCCCTGTGGGTTCGAGGGTGCGCAAGCAGCACCAAGCTACACACAGCACATGCCAGCAGCTCCGGCAGTGATGCACACACGCGCACAGCCCTCCTGTGTACACCCCACACGGACATATTCCTATCTATGCATGCACACCCACGCACACGCTCATGCACACACGCACACCTCTACCAGAGACACCACACACACATTCCTATGCACATGCACACGTGCCCTTACGGACAGGCAGCCAGCATGCAGTGACTTCCCAAGGAAGGACAGACTCCCACGAGAATCACAGCCCAGGGGCCATAAACAGAGCCCAGTGAGGCACTGGGTCAGGGCGAGGTGTGGCCAGACTCTTCAGCCCCTGGCTTTGGCGGAGGAGAAATAGCCTGACAGCGAAGGCACTCCCATGGCAGCGCCTACAGAGCCCTCATGCTCTGCCAGCACTGACTGCACCCAGGTCTCCAGGGGTCCCCAGGATGGGGACACACTGGGAACATGTCCCTGGCGTCTACACTGCAGCAGCCCTTGCTGAAGTCAGACCCTGACAATATGATCTCAGCAACCACCTCTCCAGACACGTGAGGTCAGCGGAGTGTCCCATGAACCAATCAGACCAGCACAGCTGCACAGTGCCCGGCTACAACAGAGCGACCTCCACCAGGGAAAGAACGCTGTGCTGGAAACACTCTGGACAGGTCTAAGGGCAGCCTGGGTGCCACGTCTTATTCACCCGGGTACAGTGTCCAAGCCCGAGAGAAAGCAGAGCCCAGGGCCCTCCCCGGGAGGTCCAAGGTGGCCTGGAAATGCAATCCCGTAACACCTTGCCCTCAGGCCACCACTTCAGGACTGTCCCCTCTCCAAGTTCTTTTCAGGAGCAGAAAAGAAGCCTAGGAGCCCGGCGGCGGGCAGCTTACGGTGGCCACAGAGGCATCAGATCATCCATCAGCTCAGATGGGGCGTTGAGCAGAACTCGCCAAAACAAACAATGCCAATGCCTGGAGTTTAATGTGTTTACGCTGAAAAAAAAAAATTTTTTTTTTCCTGGCTGAAAAAGGAGAAGCTGGCTTTTGTAAACCGTGACAGGTACAACATTCTGCCTGATCTCTCTGAGAGGGGAGCCGAGCCCCTCACCAGAACCACAGCACATGGTCAGAGTCCAGTGTGGGAGGCCGCATGGCAAGCCTCCTCCCTCGAACGCATGCATGCCCAAATGCCAGGGATGCATCCGCAGGGGCTGCTCTGAATGTGACCCGTCCTCTGAAGAGATCGAAGGCACATTGCTGAACGCTCTGGGACAGGAGAAACCCCCTCTGCTGCGTCCACTGTGCTTCTCAGACGCCAAACTGTGGGGCGCACTTCTCCCTGCTCCTGGCACCCAAGGGAAAACTAACTTCCAGGGGTATCCCATGGACCAACCATACCACCTCTGGGCCCACCAACCCTGGCGGTGCTCAGGACTGATGCCCGGCTTTGCACTCAGCAATCACTCCTGGAGGTGCTTAGGGGACAATATGGGGTGCCAAGGATGAAACCTGGGTCGGTCTTGTGCAAGCAAACGCTCTATCTGCTGCCAGAATCCTGTCACAGCTCCTTAGGGCCCGGCAAGACCACCTCACAGTCAGACCATGGCACCTGAGGGCCCCGTCACAGCACCCACGGAGCCCTCAGAAAAGCTGAGAGGCCAGAGAGTAGCGGAGCAGGGAGGGCGTTGGCCTTGCATGCAGTTGACCCAAGCTGATCCCCGGCACTCCATATGGTCCCCAGAGCGCCGCCAGGAGTGACTGCCGAGTGCAGAGTCAGGAGCAGCCCCTGAGCAGCGCCGGGTGTGGCCCAAGCACCTGCCTCCCCCCAAACAAACAGCTTTTGAAGGAGCCCTGCTGTCTTGTGCATGAGAACCTGGACACACAGCTCGTTCTGGTCGCAATGCAGGAAGAGGCAGTAGAGTCCTGGTTCGTTCGTTGCTCGGGCAGACACACTGCTCAAGCCCCAGGATAGACGGTCCCAGCGCAGGAAAGGGACTGCCATCCAGAGATGGTCCCAGCAAAGCAGCAGCGACCTCCTCTCAAGCCCAGAGCAGCCAGGCTTCCACACGCAGGTTGGCAGCGCGCAGGCTCACCTTTCCGAAGAACCCGCTTCTTGGCGCGGATGTCTGTCTCCAGCTCTGCTGCTCTGATGTAGATCCTGACAGACTGTGGGAGGTGCCGTACGGCCTGGGCCACCACAGCCTTGGCTGTGTCCCCAGGCTGCAACCTGGCAGCTTCCAGCCAAACGTCTTCACTCTGTGGGTGAAAGAGAACAGTAAGCAGCAGAAGCGCTCCTGGAAACCACACAGGGGCAGTTATGTGCAGGACAGGAGGGTCGACGGGGCCCTGGTGGACCAAACACAAGCCATGGACACACCTGCAACACAAAGCCCCCCGCGCCCTCAGCGAAGTGAAGCCTCAAAGGACGAGCTCACAGCCTCTGCTCAGTCTCCACAGGCCTGGGCAAGGAGCCCAGAGCCCACCTGGGAAACCAACATTGCAGCCCTGAAGGGCAGAAGCGGCCCAGGACAGAGAGCCTGAGGCAGGGCTACCCGCCCTTCTGTCCTGGCTAGCACTCAGGAGGCGACCCTCCTTGTGCGGAGCACCCCAGTCGCCACTGAGAGCAGCCACCTAGAAGGTGTCAGAGAACCTGTCAGCACTCATGAACGTCAGGGCGATCTCCAGGGCCTCCCATGCGGAAGGGGAGTCCGTCAAAGCTGCTCTTCCCAAGGAAGCCACCAGCTATCTCAGCAGTGTGCCGGTGGGCAAGCATCCGCGCCACACCTGGATAGAAGCCCTTTCCCTCTTTCCGCTTCTTCCCCTCACCTGTCCTCTTTTCATTAACTGTACGCAGAAGCACTCAGGCTTTGAGCAGAACTCGCCAAAACAATGCCAAGGAAATGGGACCAGAAGTTGGAGTGACAGCACAGTGAGGAGGGCGCCTGCCTTGCGCTCAGCCAACCTGGGCTCCCGAGAACCCCACAGTCTTCCAAGCACCGCCAGGAGTCATCTCTGAGTGCAGAGCTGAGAGTAAGGCTGAGCATCGCAGGGTGTGGCCCCAAAGAAAAAACCAAAACCCCCCGAGGAACAGGGCCACGCCTCACCTTGGGACACATTTCCGTCCCCTTCATGATAAGGTTGCGAGCTACTTGCAGCTTCCCGGTGACCTCCTCCAAGCGAGCTGACGCAATCCAGGCTGGTGGGTGATGAGGGTTCGTCTCCCGAACAGACTTGAGGAGCAGCCGTGCTTTCTTGATGTCACTACGAGGGAGCGGAAGCAGTGTCAGGAGACCACCCTGCAGGGGCCCAGCCGAGAAAGAAGGCACCAGTGCAAAGATGGGACGAGCAAACTGCCTTCCACGGTGTCCAAGTGTAAAACCAACTCAAGTCTCTGCCTAACTAAAGCAAGTAAATAAATATCCGGGGGGCCATAGCAATAGCACAGCAAGTTGGCACTGGCCTTGCATGTTGCCCGGGTTCGATCCCTGGCATCCCACACAGTCCCCGGAGCCCACCAGGAGTGATCCTGAGTGCAGAGCCAAGACTAAGTCCTGGCACTGCTGGGTGTGGCCCCCATAACCCAACCAAAGCCCCTCTGCCCAGCGCAGATGCCAACCCGCACAAGCCCTGGTGCCACCACCGAGCAACTGTGCTGCGGCAGCTACGGAAGGGTGCTGACCTTATAGGCAGCAGAGCCGGTTCCAGCTCCAGCATCCCATATGGTCCCCCAGCCCCACCAGGAGGGACCCGAGTCAGATCCAGGAAGAAGCTCGAGCATCGGTGGGTATGGCCAAAAATGAAATACAAAATCTAGAAAACCAGGGGCTGGAGCGATAGCACAGCGGGTAGAGTGTTTGCCTTGCACGCAGCCGACCTAGGTTCGACTCCCAGCATCCCATATGGTCCCCTGAGCACCGCCAGGAGTGATTCCTGAGTGCATGAGCCAGGAGTAACCCCTGTGCAAAGCCGGGTGTGACCCAAAAAGAAAAAATAAAATCTAGAAAACCAGATGCACGCTGCTTCACAGTTCAGTACGTGCAGGAATCTGGAACGAAACAGATGACAGTCTCTGCAGACCCCAGCATCATGGTGTCCACAGTGCGGAGTGGACCAAAGCACAAGCACTACTACTCAGCTATTATCTGGCACAAATATAACATCTGTTTTCATTTCTGGGCCACGCTGCAGTTCTGGTGCTTGATCGAGCCTGGACTTCCTGCAGCAGTGCTCATCCTGCATCCAAAATGTGTATTTAAAAAAAGGGGCCAGGGTGACAGTACAGCGGGGAGGGCTTTTGTCTCATATGTGGTCAACCTGGGTTCGATCCCCAGCATCACATATGGCCCAGGGCGCTGCAGGAGTAATTCCTGAACAGAGGCAAGAGTAATCCCTGAGCATCACTGGGTGGGCCCTAAATGCAAAAATGAAAATCAAACCCCACACCAAAGGCACACCATACTATTTCCAACAGCCCCTAGGTCTGGGGCTGGAGTGATAGCACAGCGGGTAGGTCGTTTGCTTTGCACACGGCCGACCCGGGTTCAATTCCCAGCAACCCATATGGTCCCCCAAGCACCGCCAAGAGTAATTCCTGAGGGCATGAGCCAGGAGTAACCGGAGCATCGCCGGGTGTGACCCAAAAAGAAACAAAAAAAACCCAAAAAAAACAAGAGCCTCCAGGTCCTACCCCTGCATGGTTCTCAAAGAAAATATAACCGACATTAGCACTCAGGCACTCACTTGATGTCCCCACCATGGGTTGGAATCATGGAGTTCAGGTCTGTCAGGTAGCCTTTGGGGTCAACAACAGTCTGCCCACTCACTGAGTCAGACACCTGCATGGCAGAGGAAGACCGGTCAGATGTGCAGAAGGGGAGAGAACGTCCCGACTAGAACTGGCACACGAGATGCCAGAACCGGCACACGGCATCCAGAACCAGTACACAAGATTCCAGAGCCTTTCCCGCCCCAGCCTGTATCAAGGAAACAAGAAAAACCAGCTACAGGGTTCGAATCACGAACTTCCGCTATCAACAACTGAAATTCATGTGGTATTACGAGCATGTAAGTTGAGGGCAGAGTGGTAGTACAGCGGGGAGGGCGTTCTCCTTGCACGTGGCCAACCTGAGTTCGATCCCCAGCATCCCATATGGTCCTCAAGCACTTCAAGGAGTAATTCCTGAGTGCAGAGCCAAAAGTAACCCCTGAGCATCACTGGGTGTGACTCAAAAAGCAAAATAATAATAATAATAATAAAAAAAGCATGTAAGCCTCAGGACAAAAAGACTAAATGAATGGAAGGACAATCTAAGAAAGATTGAAAGCCAGCAGCAAAAAGTGATTATTCAGGGGTCAGAGTGATAGTACAGTGCATGTGGGCAACCCAGACTCAATCTCCAGCATCCCATGTGGTCCCCCGAGCCTGCCAGGAATAATTCCTGAGTGCAGAGCCAGGAGAAAACCCCAGATGGGACCCCAAAAAAAAAAAATAAAATAAAATAAGAGGCTAAGAAAAAAACAGATGATTATTCAGGGCCAGACCCATTTATCCTGGAGTAATCCCAGAACAGAGCCAGGAGTAAGCCCTGACCAGCCAGGTGTGGCCCAAACTCCCCTAGCCCCCACACTGCAGGGTTTCCAACTACTTTTATTTTAATGCGCATACTGCAAACCATCACACAGCTCTCTAGGTGTGCCTGCAAGTCACCATACCCAAAGCTTCTCTTACATGCAGTTGACCTGGGCTGGAGCCCCAGCACCGCACACGCTGTCCTGACTCCTGCGCACAGAGCCCAAAGCAGGCCCTCAGTACCACCAGGTGCGAGCCCAAAACCAATACAAAAGGAAAAACCAAGGGCTGCAGTGATAGTATAGCTGGTGAAGCGTTTCTTGACTTGCACATGGCCAACCTGGGTTTGGCCCCAGACATCCCATACCCCCAAGCCCCCAGGAGTGACCCCTGTGCGCAAAATCAGGAGAAAGCCCAGAGCAACACTGGGTGTAGGGGGCCCCAAAGCAAAACAAAAAGAGTCAATGAAAATCGAGTAAAATATGGACACAACGGGGCTGAACTACAGCTCAGCTGTCCTGGATGTGCCCAGTCCAGGCTGGATCCCTGGCACTCAGAGCCAGGAGAAGGCCCTGAGCACAAATGGGTGTGTTCCCCAAACAAAACCAGATCCAGGCCAAAGCAGCGGGGAAAAAAGCCTGAACAGTGTACACAGGAGGAGAAAAATAAAGGTCTGCCTGAACTCTCAGGAAATCCACAACAGGGGTCCTGGTATGGGTGGGGCATGAGCACTGAGCATGAGCACTCGTGGATGAGCACTGAGAGGAGTCGTCCCCTGACCAGAGCAATGCAGTGTGGCCCACACAAAATTTAAAGAAAAGGAAATCCAAATCAACCACAAAGTAGCTCCCGGAATAACGAGTTCTCTAAAGACCTCAGGATAGAAGGTTACCACAAAAAAACCAGCTATAGGGCCGCAGCGATAGTACAGTGGCAAGGACGTTTGCCTTGCAGGCGACCGACCCAGGTTCCATCCCCAGCATCCCATATGGTCCCTTGAACCTCACCGGGAGTGATTCCTGAATGCAGAGCCAAGAGCAAACCCTGAGCACTGCTGGGTGTGGCCCCCAAACAAATAGAAACTTAGGGGTCAGAGAGATAATACAGCAGACAGGGTGCTTGCCTTGTACACAGCCAACCTGGTTCTATCCCTGGTAACCCATAAAGTCCCCTGAGCCCGCCAGGGCGATCTGTGAGTATACAGTCAGAACTATCCCGGGCATCCCTGGGGGTGGCCCCAATCCAAACACTAAAAAATTCAAAGTAGGGGCAGAGCAACGATACAGCAGGTAGATGTGGCTGCCCTGTGGCCCCCCAACATCACCAGTCGTGATCCCTGAGCACTGCGAGGTACAGCCCCGAGACAAATTTAATTAAAAACGAAAGCCAACCATTGTGAACATTAGTTTTGTCATCAGAAGAAACAAACAAACAAACAAAAAACCCTCTCCAGCCCCAGACCACGAACTACAGCACAGTTCCCACTCGGCGTCACGCTCACCTGGCTCAGCCTCATGTCCATCAAGGTGTTCCTGGCTTGCCCGATCTTCCTCATGTCCAGCTCCCCTGTGCCGGGTGTCATGAGTCCTGGGGTCATTCCACCCGGGTAGGGAGTGTTCAGTCCACCTGGGTAGGGCGTGTTGAGGCCTCCAAATTGCTGGGGGGAGTAAAAGCAGTGAAAAGGCTCAGGTTTCCAGGTGAAGGCGCCTCGTCGTCCTCAGCTCTGCGCACGGCACAGCTGTACAGAGAAGCTGAACGCAAAAACGCTGGCACAGTTCCCCCCCGCCCACATGTCCACCCCGTCACATGCCCACATGTCCATACTTGCCACATGCCCAAACCCCCACGTTCATACACACCCACATGTCCAGACCCCATACACCACCCCAACCCACATTACCCATCCACACACCTCACCCCACACCCCCAACATGTACACCGCCATACCCCCCACATATTCCTGTACCCCCACACCACCCCATCACACTCCACACACCGCCACATGCCTACACAAGCCTATACGGACAGGTCCACACACGTACCCGCCTGTACACACACGCCCACCCCCATACACACACACCACCCCCATCTGCCATGGGGGGCACCTTCCTCTTCCTCTGAGGCACTCACAGTCTGCCGGGGGTCGACTGAAGTATGGTTCTCTCCAGTCTGTAAGTGTTTAGCAAAAAAACTGTCGGGAACAGGAGTGAGCTTCTCGTAGCGTGGGGTCCGCTGGCGCTTGTTCCTGGCATCGCCCACTTCAGGGATGCTCAGCCACTCCTCCTCGGTGACCTCTGCCAGCTTCCTCTGGAAACACCCGGACACCAAACATCAATTCTCTGGCAGAATTTCACAAGCACAAGTAAAACTATGTTCGTTCTGATCCTGAGACCTGCCCCCCAGCCCCATCATCACACCTTAGAACTTGGATAAAGAAAGGGTTTTACTCCGTTCTATTTTATTTTTTTGGCCACACTCAGCCTCCAGGGACAGGATCACTCCCAGCAGGGTTCAGGGGACAATATGGGGTGCTGGGGCTCAAACCCGGGTTGGGCATGTGCAAGAAAAGCAACTTGCCCACTGTACTATCTCTCCAGCCCGGCGTCTGCTTCCTTGAGACAATTCTGTTCAATCTTTACCTCACTCAAGTGCATATGCTTCCATCAAAGCGGAGCAGACAGAGCTCAGAAAACCTTACATACGCTTGAATCAGGTACAGAGAAGGGCCAGAGAGAGGTAACAGGATGAGGCCCAAGTGCAAGCGCCAGTCACACGATCCCTTGGGCACCACTGGGAGCAACGTCGGGCACAAAGCAGGAACAGACGCCTAAGCACTGCTTGGCATGGCCCAAAATTAAAGAAAAAGTTACAAAGGAAACAAGTTCATTTGTTCCACCTTTCTCTGGTGGGGGAAGAGACTTCTAGGGCAAATGAAGAGCAATGCTAATCCAGCCGTCGATTCTCTAGGTCAGAGCAGAGAAACCGGGAATGGGCTACGATTCATTCACTTACTTTGAGATCTGAAAACTGCTGCTGGATCTTAGGGCGTTCCATACGGTATTTCTCGATTTCTTCTTTCTCCCTCTGCTCCCTGCCAAGTAAAAGGTGGTCATTAAAAAGACCAGACGTCAACCTGAAACAGCCATTTCTAAATACCTCTTAAGCCTCCAAAAGGAACAGTTCCAGAGTCAGGAACTAAACCAAGCACATTCCGACACACGCTCACGACACAGTCCAACTGTCTACCCGGCAAGGCATGCAGAAGTTTCACTGCGTCTGAACACACGTTCAGAGGATCCACCACAGGGCCAGAGAGCTAGGACAGCAGGTCAGGTCAGGTGTGTGCCTTCCCACGGCTGACCCAGACTCAGCCCCAGCACCCCCCAGGGTCCCCCAGCACTGCCAGAAAGTGATTCTGGGAAGCAGAGCCAGAGTAAGACTAAGCACCAGCAGCGTGTGCCCCTAAACCCAAACACAGGAAAGTGCCCGCTACTTTCAGATCCCAAAGTCAGGACAGAGAAGAGCACAGGAGTCAAACATCCCCTCCTCAGCCACAGCCCGTCCCCCACGCGCCACGAGTGCGCTGCTGTAACCCAGGCAATTCTGGGATGCGTCACAGCCAGGTACGTTACCAACACAAAGGGTAACAGCTCCCAGCTAGAGCCACAAGACAGAAACTGGGAACCCCAGTGAGCACTGTGAGCACTGCAGAGACCTCCGCAGGGAGCACAACCCCCAGACTAGCACGTCTCAGGGAGAGCTGCAGAACAGCTCCACACCCAACAGCGTGGCCCGCAAGGTGTGGCCCCAGGGCACCTCAGCCCAGCGTGTGCACCAGCAGTCACCATGGGGACAACAGACACAAGGGAGGGCAGAGGCGGAGAATGCTCAGGGAGGAGCTGTCCTCGCTGCTCAGGTCAGGGGCGCCCTGGTCACAGCAGGAGAGTGCTCGCCTTGTGCACATCTCACTGGATTTGATCCCCAGGGTCCCACATGGTCCCTGAACCCACCAGGATGCTCCCTGAGCACAGCTGGGTGTGGTTCTCCCCCAACCCACCCCGACCCGAGAAACAGTACCAAAATCCAGACGAATTATGGCTCCAGTGAGCGGGAGCCAGGCGGTGGGCAACAGCCCCCGCAGCCTGGCTGTGCGCGAGCCACTCGGCAGTCTCGAGCTGACATGCGGCTCAGGAGCGTGGGGCCATGGGCTCCTTCCACCCCTGTATGAGCACTGCAGGGAGGACAGGCTCAGCATGCCCGAGAGGACAGAAACTGCGTGACAATCCAGGTCTCTACCAAGGCTATCCAGGTCTCTATCAAGAAACTAAAGTTAGGGCTGGAGTGATAGCACAGCGGATAGATGGGGCTTTTGCCTTGTACACAGCTGACCCAGGTTCGATTCCCAGCATTCCACATGGTCCCCTGAGCACCACCAGGGATAATTCCTGAGTGCAGAGCCAGGAATGACCCCTGTGCATCACCGGGTGTGACTCAAAAAGGAAAAAGAAAAAAAAAAAAAAAAGAAAAAAGAAGCTAAAGTTAGGGGTCAACGAAGTGCCCAGAACACAGCTGCTGCGAGACAAGCTACCTGCTGGGCCAGACCTCAGCGAAGGGGCCCACCAGCGAGCCCAGAGGAACACGCCTGCCCTCACTGCCCTTCCCCAGCTCCCCAGGCCCGGCAGCTGCCAGCACCTGTCGGCTGCAGTGAGTGCCCAGGCTCCAGTCGAGCCAAGACCCAGAGGCAGCGCTCGGCAGGCCCCCAGAGCCACCTGCACCAGGCCCTGCAAGTCAGAAAGGAGCGAGAATGCACACCCGAGACAGCGACTCGTTTTACCTTCTCTCTTTTCTTCTCTCGTCCATCCTTTTATCTAGAGCTGCGTAAATAGCGTCCGCTTCCTCGTCATCTTTCTCGTAAGGGCCGCTCGAGAAGAGGCTCCCGGCATAACCATTGAACTGGGAACCAAACAGCACACTCAGAGGCCCATTTCTCCTCCAGCATCATGCTCAGGAGCAAGGGACACCTCTGCTCGGACACTGCTCAGTCAACCACGCCGGACAGACCCAAGCCGAGGGCTGGTCCAAGATGGAACCGAGGCAAAACGCACCTTGGCATAAATGAGGCCGTGGGTTCCACACACCCTCCACACCCCGCAGCAAGCCGAGGGGTAACCAAGTAACGGACCGGGCTGGGCTGGAGAGGCAGTACTTGGGCAGGGGACGCACCGTGCATGCGTCTGACTCGGGTTCGATCCCAGTCACCCCACGTGTTCCCTGAGCCCGGCCAGGGAGCGACCCCAGAGCAGAGCCAGGAGTGACCTGCCCCCAACAAACAAACAAACAGAAACAAAAGGGCTCAGGGCAGGGGAGGGCAGAGTGCGCCCAGCTGGGGGCGACAGGCGCGGGGGAAAGGGGGTCTCACACTGCAGGCCCAGGGTTAGCCGCCAGGCCAGGCGGCTCGGCGAAGCGACCCCGCGAGCCGAGACGGACAGTGGGGTGGGCAGCGGGGTGCCGGGGCGGCAGCGCAGCACGCAGGCACCGACAGGGCCCCGAGCCCGCAGCCAGGAGGAAGCCCTGGGCCGCGCCAGGCGTGGCTCGGAACGGAGCGGCACAAGCGGGGGCAGCCGGCGAAGACGCCGCCCGCACGCCCAGCTCGCGCCCGCGGGACGCCCACCCGCCGCTCCCCGCGCACGTGTCGGGTCGCGCCTGGCGCCCCGCCCCGCCCCGCCCCGGGCCCCGGGCGCCACCTCGTCGTAGTTGGTGTCGTTCAGGTCCTCGTCGTCGTCGTCCGCCGCCTGGCTCTTCTTCATCTGGTCCCCGACCGTCCTCTTGCCGGGCGGCGCATGGCGGTCGTCCACGGGGTCGTTGGCGTCGCGCGCGGGCCCGATGTCCGAGCGGGTGGTGAAGCCGGTGGCGCTGCGGGGGCGCAGGGGCGGGCGCGGGCTCAGCGGAGGGCGCCGAGGGCCCCCGGGCGGGCCGCCGCGCCGCGCCCCCGCCCGCCCGCCCGCGCCCGCGCTCACCCCCGGCCCAGCCCCGGCACGTAGCCGAGCGGCGCGGGCATGCCCAGGAACGGCTTCTTCTTCTTGTTCATGGCGCCGACGGCCACCGGGCGGGCGCGGGACGCGGCGGACCGGAGCTGCGACTCCCGCTCGGCGCAGGACGACGACGCGCGGCCCGCGCCCCGGAAGCAGACCCGGCCGGCGCGGCCCCGCCCCCGGGCTTCCGGCGCCGGCGCCCTCGGCGCGGCTCCCGAGCCCGGAAGGAAGCGACCCCGGGCGGGCGCGGCCCCGCCCCCCGGCTTCCGGCGCCGGGCCCTCGGCGCGGCTCCCGAGCCGGAAGGAAGCGGCCCCGGGCCGGCGGGGCCCCGCCCCCCGGCTTCCGGCGCCGGCTCCGCGGGGGCGGGGCCGCGCGACTCCCGAGCCCGGAAGCAGCGCCGGGCGCGCCGCAGCCCCGCCCCCGACTTCCGGCGCCGGCTCCGCGGGGGCGGGGCCGCGCGACTCCCGAGCCCGGCGGCGCGCGCCCGGGTTCCGCCGCGGTGCGTGCGCGCGCGTGCGCCGCGCCCCGGCCGCCGCTGCCCGCTGCCCGCCGGGCGCCGGGCGGACACACCCATGCGGGAGGGACGGGCGGGCCGCGGGCGCGCCGCACCTGCCCGGCCGGCGCGGGCCCATGTTCCCCGAGCTGCGGAGCCGGCCGGGGCCCCCGCGGGGTCGCGCCGCGGCGGTGCGCGCGGGCCTCGGGGAGCGCCGCGAGGCGGACGGTGAGCGGGGCCGGGGGCGGCCGGGCGGGGCGCGCCGCGGCGGGCCGAATAAAGTGCTCTGGTCCACGCTGACTCGTGCCCCGGAACGCGCTCTGCGAGCCGGGCGAGGGGCGAGGGGGCGGGGCCGCGCCCCGAGAGCTGTCACCCGCGAGCGAGCCGCGCGAGGCAGGGTCTCCCCGCCCGCCTGGGGGTGGGGAAGCCAGGACCCAGCCCGCCCCGGCCCTTCCCTGCCGAGTGACACGGCGCGGGTGCTGTGGACTCGGGAGCAGCCTCCCCGCCCCACTGTCCCCAGTGACCTCGGAGATGGAAAAACCGTTTCAATGGATGCGATGCTCGCGGCTTAGGAGAGCAGGAGGGATGCCGAGGGTGCCACGCCCCCATGGTACCCACCCCCGGATCTGCGCCCTACCCTGCCGGCCCTCCTAGAGCCAGCTGGACGGGGTGGGCTGGGGGCGGGGTTTGGGTCACACCCAGCGGTGCTGGGGGTTACTCCTGGCCCTGCACTTCTGCACTCAGCAATCACTCCTGCCGGGCTCCGGGGGACCATATGGGGTGCTGGGTATTGAACCTGGACCAGACACATGCAGGGAAAGCTCCTCCACACCGTACTATGGCTCCAGGCCCCGGGCTCATTTTTACTATTTGTTGGATTTTGGTGTTGGGACCACCCCTGGTTCTGCATTCAGGGATCAGCTCTTTTTTTTGGGGGGGGGTCACACCTGGCGATGCTCAGGGGTTGCTCCTGGCTCAGCGCTCAGGAAATACTCCTGGTGGGGTTTGGGGGACTATATGGTGTTCGGGGATGGAACCCAGGTTTGCCGCATGGAAGGCAAACACCCTCCCCGCTGTACTACGGCTCTGGCCCTTCAGGGGTCGCTCTTGACAGTGCCAGGGGGACCATAATGAGGTGCCTGGGATGGAACCGGGCCCACTGAATGCAAAGCAAGCAACCTGGCCGCTGCGCTCTCTGGCTCCCTGAGCTTGTCCTGTGGGTGAGACACAGCCCATGCACACATCGAGCTAGAGCCAGTGCAGCTGTTCCCAAGCAGACGGGCACCCCCAGGTTCCCTGCCAGGAGCTGCAGAGGTGCCGCGCCTGTCCCCGGAGCTCGAAGCAGCACCCAGCTCTGCTCCCCCAGGCTGCCCTGCGGCCGCCAAGGGAAAGGGCAGCCTGACTCTTCCTCTTTGGTGGAGGGGAGGCTGATTCCTTCTGTCGGGTTTGCGTAAAAAACCCTTGCTGGTAGGGGCTTCCGTTGGCGGGTGGGGCAGGCTCACACAGGGGGTGCCCCGCTCCGCAGCCACTGCCCACTTCAGCTTCTGCCGGACCCTCCTGGAGCACACAGTGTCGGCGGAAAGCATCCCCTGCCCACTGCCCCGGGCTCCGGGCAGCAGCCTCACGTGGCATGACTCTCGGAGCCAGAAGGCAGCTGGCGGCCACGCTGTCAAGCTCCTGCAGCAGCCTGGCACCCAGGCCCCCCAGGTACTGCCCACACCTGCGCGCCCCCGCCCCCGGCTGCACCACCTGCCCCACCTGCCCCGTCTCCCCACAGGGCCGGCTGTACCCCGACCACTGCGGCCTGTACCACACGAGCCCCTCGCTGGGCGGCCTGACCAGGCCGGTCGTCCTGTGGACGCAGCAGGACGTCTGCAAGTGGCTCAAGAAGCACTGTCCTCACAACTACCTCGTCTACGTGGAGGCCTTCTCCCAGCACGCCATCACGGGTGCCGAGCCGCGGTGTCCCCCCCGCCCCCGCCCCTCCGCCGGCCGCGCGGGTCTCGCCCACCCTGACCTCGCTGCCCCACCGCGCGGGTCTCGCGCCCCGGGGCCCGCCCGCCCTGACCTCGCTGCCCCTGCCCCCTCGCAGGCCGGGCCCTGCTGCGCCTGAACGCCGAGAAGCTGCAGCGCATGGGGCTGGCGCACGAGGCGCAGCGGCAGGAGGTGCTGCAGCAGGTCCTGCACCTGCAGGTGCGGGAGGAGGGGCGGAGCCTGCAGCTGCTCAGCCAAGGTGCGTGGGGGCGCGGGGTGGGGGGCGGCGGGCCGGCCGGGCCGGACCCCCACTCTCTCCCTCCCCGCAGCTCCCTTCGGAAGCCGGGCCTAGCCCGCCCGACGCCCACCGCGGACCCCAGCACTGTGACCAGCGCGAGGACGAGGCGCCGCCCACCGGGCGGGCGGGTCTCCGGCGGGACCCCGTTGCATGCGCGGCGGCCCGGCTGCCGGTCTGGCCGCGACCCTGCTCCCCGTTATTTATGACCCCGCTCGGGACCGGGACCGGGTCCGCGCGGGCAGCGGGAGGCGGGGCTGGACCCCGGGGCGGGTGGGGGCGGGTGCCCCCGGAGCGCCCCCTCCGGCTCGTGCCGCTTTCCTGCTCTTGCCAATAAACCTGGTTCTGACGTGCCGAGTGCTGTGGCTGGGGCGTGGGGGGCCGCGGGAGGGGGCGCCGCCGGGACCCCCGCCCACCCGGGCTCCGTCCTGCGTCACGCGGAGCCGCGCCCACCGGCGCCGGGACGCTCCTCCCGCCCCTCCTCCTCCTCCCCGCTCCGCCTCCGGGCCCCTTGGACCGGCCGGGCCCCGCGCGCAGCCCGCGCCCCGCCCCCGGCCCGTGCCTCAGTTTCCCCGGCGGCGCGGCGGGCGCGCAGGATACCGCGAGAGTTGGCCCCGCCCCCGCGCAGCTGTCAAAGGGGGGCGGAGCGCGCATGTGCGCAGCCTCGGCCGCGCCGCCGGACCCGCGCCCGCCCCGGCCCGGCCCGGCCCGGCCCGGCCCGCAGCCCGCTGGGCGCCGCGGCTGCAGGCGAGGCCTCCCGCCCGCCCGCCCGCCCGCCGGCCCGGCCCGGCCCGACCCGACCCGGACAGACCCGCCCGCCCGGCCCGGCCCGCCCGGCCCGCCCGGCCCCGCGCCCGCGCCGCCGCGCCCGGCCCCGCGCCCGCGCCCGCCGCTCCTCCCTCCCCTCCCCGCTCCCCCTCCTCCCCTCCCCTCCTCCCCCCTCCTCCTCCTCCAGAAAAAGGCGCCATTTTGGGGCGCTGCGCGGCCCTCGCCGGCCCGGCCGGACCAGGTGACAGGTGGGTGCCCGGCGCCCCAGGTGCGCCCGACGCCGCCCGCGCCCCGGCCCGCCGCGCCCGCCGCGCGCGCGCCCCGCCCGCCGCCGGCCCCGCCCCCGCCCGCGGGGAGGACGCCCGCGGGGAGGGACCCCAGCCCGGGGGTGGGGGGCGCCGACACGTGGCGCCGGACCGCCTGGAAGTTGCGGGGACTTGGGAGAAGTTTGCTCCAGGCCCGGGACGTGGGTGTGGGGACCCCTCTGGCAGGGCGCAGGGACCCTTCCGACCCCGACCTCAGCCCGCCCGGGTGACCTTTGCACACCCGGGGCAGAAGGCCCCTTGCCAGCCTCTGGGAACCCAGCGTCAATCTCACCCGCCGCTGTCTGCCCCCCCCGCGGGCGGAATCCAGGGATACCCACTTGCCCCGGGTTGGCCTCCTCCAGCCCCTCTCCAGGGCCCCCTCAACCCGCCCCCGGGGTGTCAGGGTCTGGGAGGGAGGACGGCCCTGGACAGACTCTTGCTCACGGGCTGAAGTGCCTCTGGTCAGCCCCGAGCCTTGGCTGGGAAGCACGGTGGGCAGCCCGTCCCTGGGCCTCACTGCCTCTCTCCACAGCGATGGCAGACCCTTTCTGTGCTGGCGGAGGCCGCCGGCTCCCAGGGCCCAGCAAGAGCGGGCGAGACGGTGGCCGGAACGAGCTTCGACTCTCTTCACTGCACGAGCCGCCAAGGCTGGGTAAGATGGGGAGGGCCGCTCCGCCGGCCAGGTTGCCTCGGGCGGCCAGTGCAGTGTGGGCCCAGAGAGTGACAGCCTGGACCTGGAACTCCTGCCCTGGGCTGGGTAGCCCGTGGCAGCCAGGAAGGCTGTGGGGAGCACGGTCCCCAACACCGGCCTGCCCTGTGCTGCAGGGATGCCCGTGGCCCGCGGCGGGCAGACGCTCCCTGGCCAGGCCCCACTCTGCTTTGAGCCAGGAAGTGCCGCCAGCGACAGGACCGAAGGCAAGAAAAAGGGGCGTCCGAAAGCGGAGAACCAGTCGCTCAGGGACATCCCGGTGAGTTCCCGGTGGGCAAGGGTGGGGCCAGGCGTCTGCTGTGAAGGCCACTCCCCACCCAGCCAAGTCAGCGGTGCCCGGGCAGGCCTGTTGCATGGGGGCTGCTTGGGGGTCGGGCGCAGCGTGGGCCCCAGCATAGCTGCCCTCATCCCCAGCTCTCCCTGGTCAACCAGTGGAAAGATGAGTTCAAGGCGCACTCGAGGGTGAAGTGTCCAAACTCGGGGTGCTGGCTGGAGTTCCCCAGCATCTACGGGCTCAAGTACCATTACCAGCGGTGCCAAGGGGTAAGGTGCCGAGCGGGCGCCCCTCTCCCCACCGTGGGCAGTGGCCAGGCCGGCCTGCCCACGCCTGCCTCTCTGTCCAGGGCGCCATCTCTGAGAGACTGACCTTCCCCTGCCCCTTCTGCGAGGCTGCCTTCACCTCCAAGACCCAGCTGGAGAAGCACCGGCTCTGGAACCACACGGACCGGCCCCTGCCCACCCCCAAGCCTGGGCCCGTCAGCCGGCCGGTTGCCATCAGCCGGCCGGTCGGCGTCAGCAAGCCCATCGGAGTGAGCAAACCAGTGGCTCTAGGCAAACCTGTGGGGGTCAGCAAGCCCATTGGCATCAGCAGGCCCGTGCCGGTCACCAAGTCTGGGCCGGTCAGCAGGCCCGTGACGGTCAGCAGGCCCGTGCCCGTCTCCAAGCCGGTATCAGTGACGAAGCTCGTGACGGTCACGAAACACGTGCCGATCACAAAGCCTGTGACGGTCAGCAGGCCCCTGGTGGTCAGCAAGCCGGTGACGGTCAGCAGGCCCCTGGCCGTGGGCAGGCACACCCCGCCCTGCAAGATGGTGCTGCTGAGCAGGTCTGAGAACAAGGCCCCCCGCGCCGTGGGCAGGAGCGGCAGTAAGAAAAGGTAGGCGCTCGGCCTGGCCAGATGGGCAGCCCTGCCCGCAGCGGGGCCGTCCAGGCTCAGGGGGCCTCCCTGTTCCCTGCAGGGCTGCGGACAGCCTGGACACCTGCCCCATCCCGCCCAAGCAAGCAAGGCCAGAGAACGGGGGGTACGGCCCGTCGGCCCCTGGTCAGAGCTCAGCCCTCCTGCTGGGCGTGGGGGCCAGGCCCCTGGCCGGCAAGGAGGTGGCGCGGGCCACGGGCCCCGTCTCCCCGTCAGAGGAGGGCGCCGAGCGGGACGAAGCACAGTAAGATGAGAGCATGGGTGGGGGGTGGGGCGGGGGCCTGCGGACCAGACCCGCGGGTGGTTATTGGACCAGCGCTCGTCCTCGTTTCTCTCCCGAGTCAGGAAGGAAACAGAAGACACCCAAGAAGTTTACAGGAGAGCAGCCGTCCATCTCCGGGACCTTCGGGCTCAAAGGTGAGGCTGCTGCTGCCCCCGTGGAGCTGGGAGACCGGGTGCGCGGGACCCCCACCCACGCCTGCCCCTGCGCCTGCACACAGGCCTGGCCAAGGCGGAGGACAAGTCCCGTGCACACCGGGCCAAGAAGCAGGAGGGGCCCGGACCCGAGGACGTGCGGAAGAAGGTGGCCCCCGCCGGCACGGAGGCACCAGGCCCTGCGGCCCACCCCGCCCCAGGTGGGGCACGTGGGGGCGGGTCTCCGTGGGGGCCGGGCTGCGCGCGGACCCTGGTTCTGAGCCTGGTGCCGGGACCCCCGCCGCCCCTGAGGCCAGCCCTGCCCCACAGGAGGCCCCGAGGAGCCCTGGCTGCAGGCCATCCACGAGCGGGGCGAGGCCCTGTGCCCCACCTGCAAGGTGGTCACCCGGAAGACCCTGGCCGGGCTGCAGAAGCACATGGAGGTGTGTCAGAAGGTGAGCGGGCGCGGGCGGGAGCAGAGGGGCGTGCCCCGCCCAGGCGGGCAGCCCCGGCCAGCGCCTGGCCCGGCCTCTCGTCCGCAGCTGCAGGACGCGCTCAAGTGCCAGCACTGCCGGAAGCAGTTCAAGTCCAAGGCGGGCCTCAACTACCACACGATGGCCGAGCACAGCGCCAAGGTACGGCTGGGCGCTGGGCGGGGCCCCGGGCGGGTGCCGGGAGCCGCTGGCCCACCTGACCCACCCCGGCCTGGCTGCTTTAGCCCTCGGACCTCGAGGCCGCCGAGCTGAGTGAGCAGGAGGAGCGGGAGAGGCTGCGCAAAGTGCTGAAGCAGATGGGGCGGCTGCGCTGCCCCCAGGAGGTCAGCAGCGGGCGGGGCGGGCCGGGCACAGCCTCCCCTGTCGGCCCGGCTGGCCGGCCACAGGCCACTCACCAGCCTCCTGCCCCCAGGGCTGTGGGGCCGCCTTCTCCAGCCTCATGGGCTACCAGTACCACCAGCGGCGCTGTGGCAAGCCGCCGTGCGAGGTGGACAGTCCCTCCTTCCCGTGCGCCCACTGCAGCAAGACCTACCGCTCCAAGGCCGGGCACGACTACCACATGCGCTCGGAGCACGCTGCCCCGGTGAGCCGCCTGGCCTCCGGCCTGCCTTTCCTTCCGTGGGGGTCCCGGTTGCTGCGGGCATGAGGGCTGTGGGCGCGTCTGGGGGGACGGTGTGTCTGCGGGGAGGGCGTGGGGGTGCTCAGCTGAGGTCTGGGCGGCAACCCCGCCCTGCCTGCGTGCTTGGGTGGGTGAGACGGATTGTCCCTACCACGGCGTGCGGCCAGGCTCCCTTGCTAGCCTCTCACTCTCACACTCTCCAGCCCCCTGAAGAGGCTGAGGACAAGCCCCCTGAAGGGGAGGACCTGTTGGGCGTGGAGCGGACCCCCAGCGGCCGCATCCGCCGCACCTCGGCCCAGGTGGCCGTGTTCCACCTGCAGGAGATCGCAGAGGACGAGCTTGCTCGGGACTGGACCAAGCGGCGGATGAAGGATGACCTGGTGCCCGAGACCGCCAGGGTGAGCCGCTCCGCCCCGCTCCAGGCGCTGGGCCCAGCCCCTGCAGCCCTGCCCCCTCCACAGAGACTCCCCATGTGGGGTATGGGGAGGGTCACCCGTGGGCGGCTCCTACACTCACAGGGTCTCGCCTCTTTCAGCTGAACTACACCCGGCCGGGGCTCCCCACGCTCAGCCCCCAGCTGCTGGAGGCCTGGAAGAGCCAAGTCAAGGACCGAGGCCACGTGAACTGCCCCAATGATGTGAGCCACTGGCCCGAGGGCCCCGCCCCGCCCCCTCCACGGGGGCCCTCCTGCCTTGCCCCAGCCCCCCTGCCCTGCCCAGGGAAGCTCAGTCCCCATGCCCCCGGCGGGCGGGTGTGTGCACCTGGGCAGCTCCTCCAGGACGCTCCCCAGCTCCTTCCCGCCCTCAGTGCTGCGAAGCCATCTACTCCAGCGTGTCCGGCCTCAAGGCCCATCTCGCCAGCTGCAGCAAGGTCAGTGTGCAGGCCCCTGTGGTGGCCATGCGCTCCTGCCCTCCCGGGCAGCCTCCAGGGGTTCAGGCACTAGGTCCTGATGGCCCACCCGGCCCACGACCCTTGGCTGCTACGAGCTCTCTGGGCTGTCTGGCATAGTGGCCGTGGGGGGCCCGCGACTCACCCTGTGGGTGCTTGTGTAGGGGAGGCTCCTGGCTGGAGGGCTGGGGGCTAACCGGGCCGTGTCCTGCAGGGCGACCACCTGGTGGGGAAGTACTGCTGCCTGCTGTGCCCCAAGGAGTTCAGCTCGGAGAGCGGCGTCAAGTACCACATCCTCAAGACGCACGCCGAGGTGGGTGGGGCCGGCTTCCCAAGCGGGCGTGCTGAGAGCTGTGCCCCCAGCCCTGCCTCAGCCTGCATGGGAGCCCCTCAGCCCACATCCTCTGCCCCTCTCCTGCCCACAGAACTGGTTCCGCACCTCCGCAGACCCTCCACCCAAAGCCCGGGAGCCAGGAGGCACCGGCCGCCAGGAACGAGCAGGGCAGCCTGGCAGGTGGGCGGAAACGCGGGCGCAAGCCCAAGGAGCGGCCAGCCGAGGAGAGCCCCCCCCAAGACAACCCCCTCCCCAGGACGACTGGTCCCTGGGAGGCAGAGACAAGGGAGCTCGGGCCTCCACTGGCCGCAAAGTGGGAGCCGGCAGGGCACCCGAGAAGTGAGTGGGCAGGCGGGCCGGGCCAGGCCCCGTGCGGGGAGGGGCACTGGCCTGGGCCTCTTCCCCATGGCGCTGCCCCCCCACCCCCCTGCCTGTTCCTCTGCCAGTGGTCCCCCAGGGCACCAGACGCTCGTAGGCAGGCAGCAGCCACGTGGCTGGCTGAGAGTCTGGGGCTCTCCGGGGGCTGAGCCTGAGGGGGCTTCCCAGCCATCCCACACACCCGCACACACCCTCTGCACCCCCCACCCACTCCTCAGGCCCTGCTGGGCCCACACTCTGCCCCCCAAGACGCGGGATTCTCGGTGACTGGTGGTTCTGGTTCTGGTTCACGACGCTGGACCCCAGCTACCTCCCAGAACAGATCCTGAGTCTGCGTGCGCTGCCTCCCGGCCCGTCCAGCTTCTGATCTCTACCTCTCCAGGTCCCTCTCCCTCCGCCCTTCCCTCCAGCCTCACCACCCCGCTGGGCACAGCCCCTGCCCCTGCCCCGTGGCCAGCGTGGTTGCTCTGCATGTTGAGGGCAGGGCAGGGCAGGGCACGACTTCCAGCCCCGGCCGAGGGCTGCGGCTGCTCTGCTGACCCTGCCGGCTTCGTGGGTGCAAGAGACCTGGCGAGCGGAAGGTGCGGCAGGGAGTGGCCCCCCTCTGCCTCTGTCCTTCTCTGCTGTGTGGTCTGGCGGGGCTGAGCCCAGACCAGAGCGGGTGGTGACCCCGTGGGCCGGAGGGCGGCTGGGTCGGCGGGGCACCATACCCTGCAGCCCAGAGGGCAGTGGAGGGAGAGGAGGGGGCACTGTGGCTGGGGACCGGGTGGACAGAGGGTCGGGCCTTGCGATCCTGGATGCTGTGAAGTTTGATATTTCCCGTGTGTGTCTCCTGGGTGTAGTAGGTCCAGTCTTGTTGCTGTGACAAGTAACTTTTTTTTAAATTGTTTTTTATACAAAAACTCACAACAATTCGACATTTTGGTGCTAAGGGTTTCCTGGTGCCGACGGTGGGGTCAGGGGCTGCTCAGGGAGGCACTTCTGACTGCCCCCTCCCTGCCCCTGCGCGGGTCCTGCCTCGTGCGCCCCCTCCTGGCCCTGCCGGGGTGGGAGGGCCAGCTCCAGGGTTGGAAGACAGAAGGCCCTGTGTGGCCTGGCTGGTGTCCTGGGAGCGGTGTGGAGCCCACACTCTTGACATTCCGTGGCTTGAACAAAGGGCAGAGTCAGGTAGGCTGTGACCGGGGCCAGAAGTCCAGGGACAGCAGGGGCAGGCTGGGCTGGGGCCCCAGCAGGGTGGGGTTCCGCTGGCAGTGCGGGGCCCCTGCGTGTCCCTGGCACCCACTGTTGAGTGAGGTGGACCTCAGCACCTCTGCTAGGGGTGGCCGCTCCCTCCAGCCTCTCAGGTACTTGGCCCTTCGGGAGCAGGGGGCTGGTTTTGGCTGGGGGTGCAGTTCCAGGTCACCCCCGGAGTCCACGGGCGTCCCTGGTATGGGAGGAGGTGGTGGCCTGGGCGACCTGGCGTTTAGCACTTTAACCCCTGCTCTGCCTGCACAGAGGGCACAGGGGTGATGCCGAGTGGCCGCTGGGTCAGACCCTGTCTGCTGGACCTCCCTGCAGGCTCTGGCGGTGGGGGTCTGCACAGCCCCCTTCCGCTGGCCGCGGCCCGCCCTCCGGAGAGAGGAGCCAGCGTGCAGAGTGGGTGGCAAGCCTGGGCTCTGCCCGCCGCAGCGCAGGTGCCCAGCCCTTTGTGAAGATCTACCTCCGACCCAGTGCCCAGCCCCGAGGACAGGCAGGGCCGCCCAGGGGCCCCGGCCAGGGGCGCGCAGCTTCTCGCGCGACCAGAGCCCTGCCGCCCTGCTTCGGAAGGGGAGGAAGGGGCGAGCAGGGGGAGCTGCCGGCTTCCTGCCAGGCCCCGGGGGCACGGTCTGGAGCTGGGGGCCCCGGTGGGCACGTTCGCTTGGATTCCTCCGTTTGGGTTTTTCACGCCAGTTCTCAGTACATAAGTGCATTTTGAAAGAGAGGTTCCAGCTGCCACTTGTAACCATATATACATATATATTATAGCTACAAAGTGTTTATTTGCAAGATGTTCTGACGGTAAGCTTGGGCCCTGCCCGCCCTGTGACCATCTGTCCCCGGCTCTCGCCCCCGCTACCCGAGTTGGCTTGGGGACGGGCCACCAACTGTATGTATTAAAGACGACTGTATCAAATAAACGTTTATTGATTTTTTTCCAGGGCTTTCTGTGCAGCCTGTTCTGTGGGGTCGCGGGGACCGCCCGGCGGCGCGGCCGCGCGGCCTGCCGGGACTTGTAGTCGCCGGGCAGGGGGCGGCGGGGCCCGCGGACTACAACTCCCGGCGGCCCGCGCGCGCCGCCCCGCCCCGCCCCGCCCCGCCCGCGCGGCCCGGCGCCTCCGAGTCCATGGCGGCGCCCCCGGCCTCCGCGGGTGCGCCCCGCTCGCCCCCGCCGTCGCCCGCGGCCGGCGACGGGCCTGACCGACCTGCCGAGCGGAGCGAGAGCGCGGGCGAGGACCGGTAGGCGCGGGCGGCGCTGCGAAGGGTGGGCCGGGGTCTCCCGGGACCTCCCCGGGATGGGCGCGGGGGCTCGGGCCGGGGGCGCCGCCGAGCGGAAGGGGCGGGGCGGGTCGCCGGAAGGGGCGGGGTGAGCCCGCCGGGAGGGCGGGGCTGCGGGCGCTCCTCCTCCCCCTCTGCGCTCTCCCCTCCCCTCGCCCCTCGCCCCTCCCTCCCTTCTCCCATCCGCTCGCCCCCCTCCCCTCTCCCCTCTCCTCCTCCCCCCTTCTGCTCTCTCCGCCCTCCCCTCCCCTCTCCCCTCCCCCTCCGCTTCCCTCTCCCTCTTCACCTCTTCTCTCTCCCCTCCCCTCTCCTCTCCCTCCCTCCTCCCATCCCCGCTCCCCTCTCCCCCTCCCTTCTGCTCTCTGCCCTCCCCTCCCCTCTCTCCTTTCACCCTCCCCTCTCTCCCCTTCCTCTTCCCTCTCCCTCTTCACCTCTTCTCCCTCCCCTCCCCACTCTCCCCTCCCCTCTTCTCTCCCCTCGTTAGTCTCTCCCTCCTTCTCTCTCCCCCTCTTCCTCTCCTCTTCTCTCTCCCTTCTCCCCCTCCCCTCCCCTCTCTCCCTCTTCCCCTCTCCCCCCTCCCCTCCCCTCTTCACTCTCCCCTCCTCTTTTCTTCTCCCCTCTTCCCTGTCTCCCCCCTTCCCTCCCCTGCTCTCTCTCTCTCTGTCTCTCCCCCTCCTCTGCACACACCTAGCGGTCCCTGCTCCCTGCGTGCTGATGTGGGATTTCACACTCCCTGCCCCTCCCTGCTGTCCTTCAGGGAAAGGGGCATGCCTGGGGGTGGGGCCTCACTGCTTACACCTGGAATGGGAGAGACCTGGAGTTGGGAGGTACCCCTGACCCTGGGCTCCCTGAGGGGCAGGGCACATGCTGGCTCTTGGACTGCACTGAGCCCGTGGGCCCGGGGCCTCACTGTGCGGGGACCCTACCAAGCCCCCCGCAGCCACCCAGCCTGGCTCTGTGCCTGCCAGGGAGCGACTGGCCCCCCGGGGCCGCTGGGGGCGGGCCGAGGCTATTCTGGGGAGCTGGGTAGGGTTTCAGGTTTGTTTTGCCTGTGGGAGGCACCTTGGGAGCGGGTGTGGCCCGCTCAGCACTGACCTTCAGCTGCTCCGTCGGGGGGCACTCACGTTCCGGCGGTCAGTCAGTCGGGGGCTCTTTCAGACTTGTCCTCATGCCAGTCCGCCTGCGGCTGGGGCTGGGGGATGTTCCCTGCTCGCCCAGCATGAGCTGTTAAATCCGGCTCCCGCAGCCCTGATCCTCTTAGCCCTGACTTGGGGCGCTTCTGCTGCGCCAGCCCACGGAGGCCAGCACCAGCGGTCTAGGGGGCGGTGCGGTGATGCCACCGCACACACCTGGGAAGCCCCAGCCATGAGCAGCCCCCCAGCGTACCCTGGCATCAGGGTCTCGGGGTGCTGGGCCCTTGGAGCAGAAGGCAGGTGAGTGTCAGGCCTCAGGCCCCCCACCTGAGTGCGGTGGACTCCGGGCGCGCGGTGGGTGGCAGGTCTGCGCGCCTGGCACCTGCCCCAGTGGCCGCAGCCCTTGGAGATCTCGCTGTGGAGTCAGAAGCACCTGCTCCTCCCCAGGCCGGGGTCCCCTCCTGGGGCACGCCGCTGAGGGTGGCCATCGCACCTGTGCCCGTCGTGGGGTGCCCGCCTGAGTCAGGCCCTGGCAGCACGCCAGCCTTCCAGGAAGCTGAGGTGCTGCCCAGGGCCCGGAACTGCCCCTCCCCGCCCTGGGCCACCCGCACCTGGTGCGGTGACCTGCGGAGTCTGCTCAGGCCTGTAGGCCTTGTGTGGAGCGGGGTCGAGCCCCCCGCACAGCCCAGCCCGCTGCGGGTGCGGCCCCGGCCCTGCTCACTGGTGATTGGGCCTCCCGAGCCTCAGCACAGGTTGTCCCACGGGCTCTGTCCTGACGACGAGGCAGGCCCGCCTGCTGGCCCAGGGGAGGCCCCTGCACCTTGCCAGCTGCTGCCTGGATGCCAGCATCACTCCCGAGCCCTTGAGACTGTCAGGGGTGGGACTCGCCACCTCCGGCTCGACCTGATTTCTTCCATGTCCTTGCCTCATGCTCTTGTGAGTGCAGACACCCCTCAGCTCTGCGTCCTCCGGTGCAGGCAGGGTCCCAGCTGGAGGTACTGGGCTCTCCCAGGACCTCTGGCCACAGGACACAGGCCTGCGGCAGCTCCTGGCACTGCAGCTGTAGCTATGGCAATGGCAGGGCCTCGCCAGAGACAAACGTGGACATCCTGGGGTCACAAAGGTGGATTTCCCAGGGTGAGGCTTATCATTGCACTCCGGTTGTGCTGGCCCCTGCAGGCTCCCCGGATGTGGGAAAGTGGACTGTGTGACGTGTGGTGGTGGGGACTGTGCTGGCGCTCTAAAGCAGACCCGGCCACACAGGCATGGTGCCATGCTCACACCAGGCCCAGGTCTCAGCACCTCGCAGCCACTGAGTCAGATTAGCGTGTGAGATGCCCTGGGCACACAGCCTGTACACGCACACCCCTGTGTACATGCAGTGTATACACACGCTGTGCACGCGCACCCTGTACACACACTGTGCACACATGCACCCTGCGTGTACACCCTGTGTGCACGCACCCTGTACATATGCACCATGTGAGTTCACACCTTGTGAACACACACAGTGTACAGGACCTTTGTACGCACAGTGCCCTGTACACGTACACCCTGTACACGAATACCCTGTACATATGCCCCATATACACACACTCTGCAGCATCCCCGTGTGCATGTACACATGCACTCTCGCACCTGTGTACAAGGCACGCCCTGTGCGCGCACACCCCATGTACATACACGCTTGCAAACACATCTGAACATACCTTGTACGCTTGTGCACACCTGCCCTTACATACATCTCTGTACACACACCCACGTACACCTACCCTGTCTGCATGCGCGCCCCATATTCGTACACACACCCCATGTAGATATGCGCACACACCCTGTGTAGATGTGTTTACACTCCGTGTATAGCCCCGCACACCTGTCTTGCTCCGTTGCGGAGGTGGCGGTCCACATCCAGTGCTGTGCTCCCATCCCTTCCCACCCAGCCTCCCGCCCCTGCTGGTGGTGGGAGTGACCACACCCATGTCCACACACTGTGTGTAGCTGCATAGGCGTGTCCATGCTGCTCACTGGAGGTCTCTGCGCTCACTGGCTCCTCCCTCTGGATGCTCACAGCGTCCCAGCCAGACTCTCCCTTCATGGTGCGAGGCCTCTGGCTGGGGGCATTGGGCAGCAGGCTCATACTTGGTGGCCCTTCCCACCTGCCCCTGCTCCCGGGACTGCTCAGCACGGGCACGGGGAGGGCTGCCGTGGTGACAGAGGCACCCCTCTGCCTACAGCAGCAATGCCGAGTCCCTGGACAGGCTCCTGCCGCCCGTGGGCACAGGCCGCCCGCCCCGGAAGCGGACCACCAGCCAGTGCAAGTCGGAGCCACCCCTGCTGCGCACGCGGAAACGCACCATCTACACAGCGGGCCGGCCACCCTGGTACAACGAGCACGGCACCCAGTCCAAGGAGGCCTTCGTCATCGGTGCGGCCCGGTCTGCACGGGGAGGCGCCCGGCGTCCACCTGCGGTGTGAGTGTGGTGTCCCACCCTGACCCCTCTCCCACAGGCCTCGGAGGTGGCAGCGCGTCCGGGAAGACCACAGTGGCCAGGATGATCATCGAGGCCCTGGACGTGCCCTGGGTGGTGCTGCTGTCCATGGACTCCTTCTATAAGGTGAGGCTCCGCCTGCGTCCAGCAGGGTGTGCCCTGGCCAGCCGGGGCTCACGACCCATCCCCGCCAGGTGCTGACCAAGCAGCAGCAGGACCAGGCTGCCCAGAACAATTTCAACTTTGACCACCCGGATGCCTTCGACTTCGACCTCATCGTGTCCACACTCAAGAAGCTGAAGCAGGGCAAAAGCGTCCAGGTGCCCATCTACGACTTCACCAGCCACAGCCGCAAGAAGGACTGGGTAGGCCGCAGTGGGAGGGCAGGGCGAGCCGGCAGGCCAGTGCCCCTGCAGGGCGACACAGCAGCACTCCCTCCCGCAGAAAACACTCTATGGTGCCAACGTCATCATCTTCGAGGGCATCATGGCCTTCGCTGACAAGACGCTGTTGGAGGTGAGTGCAGGCCGGGCACCGCAGACGCGCACCGTGTCACCGAGTGCAGCCGTGCTGGACTGAGGGGGCTGTGGGGGGCGTGTGCTTGCAGGGGGGGAGGCAACTCATCTGTGCCCCACAGCCCGAGCCCAGAAACTGGCCCACAATCTAGTCTCCCGCACACTGCAAAGACCCTTCTGTTTGTGCCCAGGTGTGTGTCCTGTGACTTCTGAGCCTCAGGGTCCCCCCACACGGAGACAGTGGTCAGGCTCCACTCCCCCACCCCAGAGGGGCTGGGCTGGGCTGGGCTGTGAGGAGGGGCCTCTCGTGTGCAGAGAAGAGGCTGGTGCTGCCCCAGTACACAGCTGCCCACATCAGGCGGCAGGCATGTCCCTCCTGTGCTCTTGACTGAAGACTCCTGCCCACACCTGCCCTTCACCTGCCTCAAACACGGTACCCACCACCCACACGGGCACCCTCCATTCACATCTGTACCCGCCACCCACACAGGCACCTGCCACCCACACCCACGCATGCTTACTGGCCAGCAGCAGACAGAAAGGCACCCATGTTCGCGTCTGCTCTGGCCGTGGGGCCCTGTTGCTGAGGTGCTGTCGCTGACAGAGCCTCTGGCCCTCTTGGTGTCTCACTCTTCCTGTGCAGCTCCTGGACATGAAGATCTTTGTGGACACGGACTCTGACATCCGCCTGGTGCGGCGGCTGCGCCGGGACATAAGCGAGCGTGGCCGGGATATCGAGGGCGTCATCAAGCAGTACAACAAATTCGTCAAGCCCGCTTTCGACCAGTACATCCAGCCCACCATGCGCGTGGCTGACATCGTGGTGCCGCGGGGTGAGCCTCCTACCCGCCCGCTCGCCCGCCGTCCTAGGGAGGGACTGGGCATGTGCACCGAGTCACCTCCTGTCCTGCCCAGGGAGCGGGAACACGGTGGCCATTGACCTGATTGTGCAGCACGTACACAGCCAGCTGGAGGAGGTGAGCACGCGTAGCCCGGCCTGTGGGCCTGGCCTGCAGCCACCAGGCAGAGTACCCCGGGCTGTCTCGTCAGCCCTGAGCAGCGGGTGCCTCGGGCAGGCCCAGGGGTTGGTCCACATGTCCGTGTGCCCAGGGAGCCAGCTGTCCCTGTGGGGGGAGGCCCTTTCCAGGTGGGAGGCCTGGCTATCTGGTGGCCATGCATGACTGATGTCCCACCTCGGTCCCTTGTGTTTCCCTGTGTTGCTGCCACAGCGTGAACTCAGCGTCAGGTAAGGTCTCCCACACCTGTCTCCCCACCTGGCGGCCTCCCAACAGCCCTGGCACTGAGGGGGTTCGGCTCTCCGCCCTGCCCCTCGAGGCTCTGGCCTCCCGCAGAGCCACCCCCGTGGGGCCCAGAGCTCAGGGGTGCCTCTGAGCTTTGGGGTCCCTGCCCTTGGGAGCCACGTGCAGCCTCGACTCTGCGTGGAGCAGGAAGCTGCAGGGCCGTCAGCCTCCTGCCTCCTGCTGGCTCAGCCGCTCGGCCCCTGGCTCTGAGGACGAGTTAACACACCACAGAGGACTGGGCGGCCCAGGCTGGGCCATCAGTGCAGGAAGTGGTCATGGGTGGGCGGCAGGGCCAGCCGTCCCCCTCTGGCTTGCCCGGTGGCCGCAGGACCGGCCTGGACTCCCTGCTAAGCGCTCTTTCTCTGTTCTTTTCCTCTTCCCTGTCCCCCTGGGCGCCTGCCCTCCCTCCCGGGACACACTCCGCCCGCCCGCCTGCGCCGAGCAGAGGAAGCTGCGCTGGGATGTGTGAGCACAGAGTGTGCTGCTCTGGCTGTGTGCCCCTGCGTGGCCTCAGCATGCCTCTCCCCACTCCTGTGCGCCCCTCCGGGCCAGGCCAGCCAGGGCACGGGCCAGCTTCCCCCTCTCCAGAAGCGCCAAAGCTCAGCTGTTTGCGCAGGGAGAGCTCTGGGCTGCCCCTGCAGCCCCCACCTTGCTCTGCCCCCCTCCTGACGCTCTGCCTCCCACTCTGACCTTTAACCTTTGCCTGGCGAGGGGGTGGGGCCGTGCTCCGGATCAGCCACGTGCGGCCGCGTCCCCGTAACCGCCCACAGTGCCGAGTGTGATAACGGGCCTCAGGTAGACGACCCCCCTTGAGTCGTGCCGGGTCTGTGCCCGCAGGGCCGCGCTGGCCTCGGCACACCAGTGCCACCCGCTGCCGCGCACGCTGAGCGTCCTCAAGAGCACGCCGCAGGTGCGGGGCATGCACACCATCATCCGGTGAGGGCGCGAGGGGGCGCGCAGGCCGGGGGGCAGAGGGCCCGCGGGGCCGAGCCCCCGGCCAGCCTGTGTCCCTCCGCCCGTCCTCGCAGGGACAAGGAGACCAGCCGCGACGAGTTCATCTTCTACTCCAAGAGGCTGATGCGGCTGCTGATCGAGCACGCGCTCTCCTTCCTGCCCTTCCAGGTGCGGGCCGGGGGGCCGGGGGCGGGGGGCGGGCAGGGAGGCCTCGGGTGACCACCGTGCGCCCCCCACCCGCGCAGGACTGCGTCGTGCAGACGCCCCAGGGCCACGACTACTCGGGCAAATGCTACGCCGGCAAGCAGGTGCGGGCGCGGGTGGGCGGGCGGGTGGGCAGGGGTGGGGGAGTGGGGGGGGCGGCGGCCGGCCCGGCTCAGCGCCCGCCCCGCCCGCACCCAGATCACCGGCGTGTCCATCCTGCGGGCCGGGGAGACCATGGAGCCCGCGCTGCGTGCCGTGTGCAAGGACGTGCGCATCGGCACCATCCTCATCCAGACCAACCAGCTGACGGGGGAGCCGGAGGTGGGCCGGAGGGGCGCGCCCCGCGGGGAGGGCTGGCTGGGGCGGGGGCGCCTTTGGCCAGCCCCCTCTGACTGCCCACAGCTCCACTACCTGCGGCTGCCCAAGGACATCAGCGATGACCACGTGATCCTGATGGACTGCACGGTGTCCACGGGTGCTGCGGCCATGATGGCAGTCCGCGTGTTGCTGGTGAGGGCTGCGAAGGGCGGGGCTACGGGGCAGGGGAGGGTCGCTGTGAAGGGTTCGGACCCCGGTGGGGGCGGAGTTAGAGGCTGCGGTTTAGGGGATTGTGGGCGGGGCCAGAGGGACTTGGGGAGGGGCCAAGGGATTGTGGGCGGGGTTAGAGGCTGCGGTTTAGGGGATTGTGGGCGGGGCCAGAGGGACTTGGGGAGGGGCCAAGGGATTGTGGGCGGGGTTAGAGGCTGCGGTTTAGGGGGTTGTGGGCGGGGCCAGAGAGACTCGGGGCGGGGCTAGGAGATTGTGGGCAGAGTTAGAGGCTTTGGCTAGGGGATCGTGGACGAGGCCAGAGACTTGGGGCGGAGCTAGGAGGTTGTGGGCGGAGTTAGAGGCTGCAGTTCAGGGGGTTGTGGGTGGGGCCAGAGAGATTGTGAGCGGAGTTAGGGAACTGCGGTTTAGGGCATCGTGGGTGGGGCCAGAAACTCGGGGCGGGACTAGCAGATAGTGGGCGGGGCCAGAAAGAATTGGGGCGGGGCCAGGAGATTGTGTGCGGAACTAGAGACTAGTTTAGGGGTTGTGGGCGGGGCCTGAGGGACTCGGGGTGGGGCTAGGATGTTGTGGGCGGAGTTAGAGGCTGTGGATAGGAAATCGGGGGCAGGGACAGAGAGACTCGGGGCGGGGCTAGGAGATTGTGGGCGGGGGCTAGAGACTTGGGGCAGGGGATAGGAGACCATGGGCAGGGCTAGAGAAACTCCGGGCGGGGCTAGGAGGTTGTGAGCAGGGCTGGAGAGACTGGATGGGGTAAGGGCTAGGAGATCGTGGGCGGGGCTAGGAGATGGTGGGAGGGGTTAGAGGCCTGGGGCCAGGCTAGAAGATCGTGGGAGGGGCCAGGAGGCGGGGCGGGGCTGGGGTGGCAGGTTGGCACCCAGCTACCCAGCAGGGGTGGATCACCGTCGAAGGGGATGGACTTCTGTGGGAGGGGATTCCTGGGGGGGCAGGGCTACGGGGACTGCTGGGAACTCACCAGCCCCTGTGCAGGACCATGATGTGCCAGAGGACAAGATCTTCCTGCTGTCCCTGCTCATGGCAGAGATGGGTGTCCACTCAGTGGCCTATGCGTTCCCACGAGTGCGGATCATCACTACGGCGGTGGACAAGCGTGTCAACGACCTTTTCCGCATCATCCCTGGCATCGGTGAGGCGGTGGCCACGGACTTTGGGTGCGGGTTGGGCCGAGCCCCGCTGCAAGGGCCTGCCTCTCTCCCCAGGAAACTTCGGAGACCGCTACTTTGGGACCGACGCAGCCCCCGAGGGTAGTGACGAGGAGGAAGTGGTGGCGGCCAGTTAGGAGTGAGGCCCAGGACGGGGCAGGCACTGTGCAGTGACTCATTAAAAGGTGTTGCCGATCTGTGTGTGCGGTCTGTGACGTGAGTCAGTGTTGACTGTGGGAAACCGTCCTGCAGAGTGTCCGTCCCTGGCCGCCTGCAGTATCTGGGCCACCGGCCATGGTGAGGCATGAGGCTGGGCCTGGCAGGATGCAGCTGCCTGCTCCCTCATCGGAAGTGCTTCTGACCTGGTCTGGGCTCTCTTGAACCAGGCATTGGGCAGAGCCAAGTGGCCCAGCACTGCTGGTCCGTGGCTGGGCCACCTGTCCTGGGCACTGGGCGTAGTTCTGAGCCGCTGAGGCCACTTCCTCTCCCCTAAGTGCTCTGCTTGGTGGAGCGGCGGAAGAGGGTGTGGGAGGCTCGGCAGGCGTTAGGAGCTGACCAGCACTGGGGTGGGGGTGGGGGGCCGAGGGGCCCACCCTGTACCCAAACTGCTTCCCTTCCATTCCTCCCAACCCCCCAACACACACCTCACAAAGGCGTCATGGAAAGGCTTGTGGGGCGGGGACAGGAAGTCTGGGTGGCGAGCCGGCCAGGGTGAGGTGATAGAGGTGGAGGCTTGTCCAGGAGTGGTCAGATGCTAGGCAAGCCCAGGTGGTCCCCTGAGGCCAGCGAGGGCCTTCTCCAGGCTGGTGAGTGCACCTGACCCCGCCCCCAGGCCCCACTTGCCCTCACATGAGGGGGGGGGGGGGCTGCCTGGTGGGGGTTGGCAGTGGTGGGGCTGGGGCAGGAAGGGTCCTTTGACAGGAAAGTGTTGGCAAGCCCCCTGGAAGGGGCATTGCGGCTAAACGTGGGGGTGGGACGGGTCACTTCTGGGAAGGCTCCCAAGTCCAGCTCAGCAAAGGTGACTCATGTGTGAGGATGTGAGACCCACGGGTACTATCCCCTTCCTGAGGGTCAGGGTGGGAGGGGAACACAGGTGGGACCCTCATCCAGCGACCCAGAGAGCAGCCCCAGGCCGGGGAGTGCCTAGGTCCTGCACGGCCGACCTGGGCTGGAAGGTGGGTCGCCCCTCTGGGGAGGAAGAGCAGTTTTCCCCCACGGCCGTGCCTGGAGGAGCTGGCACTCTGGAGAGGGGTTCGGGCCCAGCAGAGCCAAGGGGCACGGGGCACCAGCTGAGTTGTCAGCCACGCCAGGTCCCGGGAGGCACCTCCAGGGCCGTCCAGCCTGAGAATGGCGTCTTCAGGGTCCATCTCAGGCTTGTCAGCCCGCGAGAGGCCGTCCGTCCTCAGCAGTGGTCACTGGTGTGAGCGAGCCTCAGCCTAGCCAGGCCCCAGGGAACCCGTTGGGCACTCACGCTAGCCACACTGGCCAGGGCACATGTGCACTCGGGCCTCAGCCGAGTCCGTGTGCTCGTGCCTGGGTTTCCGGCATTGGGGCCCCCAGATGATTCGGTGGGGGGGTTCAGGGTCCTGAGACCAAGCCGAGGACTGGGCGGGGGGGAGAATCTCCAGAGGTGCCAGGGCACTGCAGGGCTGTGAGGACTCCAGCGCTGACAGGTCGTCGTGGTCTGGCTCCAGGATGGGCCCAGGAGGCAGGTGCTCTGCCCAACCTCCGTCCCCAGTTCCAGCACCAGCGGGTCCGTTTGGGTGACCAAACGGGTGCTGAGGGGTGCTGGTCGGGTGCCTGATGGGGAATGGAGCAGGCAAGCAGGGCGAGACTCCAGATGGCACAGGGATGCTGCCAGCACTGGGCAGGCCCCACCTGCCTGCACTCCCGAGGGTCCACTGTGGCTCTGGGCCTGTCTCCTCATCCGTCCAGGCTGGCCACCACCCTCCAGCCCTGGGTCGGAACTTGCACGCCCCCAATGGGAGCCTCGAGGGAGCCCTGCCCAGTGGGGAAAGGGCACTGCCCTTGGCAATCCAGCCGTAGCTCGCCAAAGACACAGACAAGACTCTAGGAAGGGGCTGAGCGAGCCAGGGGGACACGCAGGAAGACCCCTGGGCCCTGGGAGCTGGGGGAGGTCTCAGCCGCGAGGGGGGTCTCCGAGACCCTTTCCTGTCTGGTTCTGCTGAGGTGACTGGTGCAATTCCCACTTCCCCTGATGCAGCGGCAGCAGCCCTGGCCGAGGGTTCTGCTCAGGTGCCCTTGCTCAGGTGTGGCAGTGCCAGGGTGTCGGGCAGACACAGCCAGGGCAAGTCTAGGGCCTGCCCAACTGGGCAGTGCTGGCTGTGACCTGAGACGCTCCCAGACACACAGGTCCCGAAGGGGGCATGGAGGGGGCCTGCCCAGGTCACTGCAGGGTGCCCGGAGGTCGCCCTGCCCCTCTGCTCTGGGGCCTGGGCACGCAGGCTGGGCAGGAAGCAGGGAGTTCCTCCACATAGGAGACGGTCGGTGTGCAGTGAAAACATTTATTTTGCAAGTTTATGTTCGGTCAACATTCAGACACAGGAGATGGAGAGGGGGACACCCTTGATCTGGGCTGCAGGCACCATGACCAGACTCGTTTCCTGAGCACAGGTGCAAGCGGCCCCTCCTACGGCTCGGGACACGGGCCTTGCCAACGGACCTACCCGTCCAAGCACAGGCCAGTCAGGGCATAGCCTGGCCACCATGTGGCCAGGACACGTAGAAATCAGCTCGCATGTTTCCAAGGGGGAGGGTGTCCAGGCACCCCTAGATGTCACACGGTGACTCACCTGAGGGCTGGGTGGAGTGGGTGGCCCCAGGGACAGCCCTCTCTGGCACCATGCTGCCACCTACCCCCGGAAATACAATGGATTTGGCACCTGGAGGTGCTTCTAGCAGCTGGCTCACGCCCCCAGGCTCCGTTCAGGGTGCGACTGTGTGGCGGACGTGAACACACACACGTGCACATGCGGTTGCCCAATGTGGGGAGGACCAGGAAGGGCCTTTGCCAAGTCCACAGGCTGATTCACAAACTGGTGAAGCTGGCCAGTCGTGGGCACACAGGGAAGCCTGGTGGGGTTCCACGTGCCACCCTCAGGTGGCCCCGTTGGCATGCACGGATGGCAGGGGGTCCAGCCCTGGCCCTCCGGGAATCCCTGGCCAGCAGGCGCCCGCCCCACTTGGCCTCACTCCCTGCTGCCCACAAGGCCCCAACTCGGGGCCCTGGCCAGATGCTTCTAGGGGACAGTACACCCCCTGGAAGGCCCAGGGGTCAGGCGAGAAGGTCCTGGCAGGGCCGAGAAGAAGCCTTGAGCCAGAGCAGGGACAGCACAGGAGAGAATGTCCACACAGCCTGCGAGGCGTGGACCAGCTCAGCACCACAGCAGCCCCAGACCCACTGGCTGGGCCAGGGTCCCCTCAGAACCCACCGCCCCTTTCCGCCCAAGGCCCCCGACCTGGAAGCTTCTGCCTGAGGCCATAGGAGACTGACGAGGGCCAACCAAGCTGGAAAGTTCTGCTTCCGAATCGCCAGGGAAAGCCGGCAGGCAGGGCCAGGCCGAGGGGGCTGGATCCTGGTCACAGGGAAGGGCAGAACCCAAGAGGCGCGGCTGCGGGTACCCACTGAGGCGGACCCCCGACGGTCTCCCCGGGGTCACAGTGCACTGCCTCCCTCGGGTCCTCACAACAATTTTAATGATCAACAAAATCGAACAGGACAAAACAAGAGGCACAGACCAGCAGCGGCCTGCCCGCCCGGCCCCACACTGCCCATTCTGGCCTCCTCGCCCCTCAAGTCCTTTGGTGACCACAGCCCCCGCGGGGGGCCTTGGCTCTGCAGGGAGCCACCCTCGGGGCCATGGGGGTCTCGGGGGACGTATGCAGGGGCAGAGATGCAGGGAGGAGCTGCTCTGAGCCTGGGGCACGGGCAGGGCCAGCAGATGTCCAGCACGGAGCAGAGGCCCCACTCCCTAGGGCAGAGCCTCTCTCCAGGAATCTGCCGGGCCTGCCGGGAGGGGAGCAGCGGGGGGCAGGGCCGGAAGAGAGCCGAGGCCGTGCGGCACTGCTCATGGCACGCAGACCTGCAGCTACGCGTGGGGCTTCGAGGGCCAGGACGGGGCGACAGAGCACAGGCGGGCAGGCGGCAGGAATGTGGAGACGCAGCCAGAGGCAAGAGGCGAGTGGGCAGGGGAGGGCGGCGTCGGCTCGGAATGACCCTCTGCCCACCCGCGCAGGTGGCCTGGGCGAGTCCGAGGGCAGAGAGGGACGGGAGAACACCACCGACAGTTCTCACGAAGAATCACCAGCGAGGCCCGTCCCCGCCTGGGTTGACTGCCCCGAGGACGGAGTCCACAGGGCGGCAGGGCGCGGACCAGACCCACGAGTCCAGTCCACGAGCACGGGGAGGACCGGCTCCGCTGACCACACCTGCTCGGCAGCTCGGCAGCCCAGTGCCGCGGTCAGGCCGCGAGCAGTCCAGACACGGGGACGGACCCAGACATGCTACTCGGGGGAGGAGGGAGGCCGCGGCGGGAGCTTTCAACACCGCATGCTACGCACTCGGCTGGACTGTCGGGGTGGACGGGTGGGAGGCCCAGAGGCGGGACTACAGTTCATGATTCTAAGGTGGCCGTGGCCGGGCGCTGACCATTGCTCGTCACGGCTTCTCTGGACTTAGTTAAAACCGTCAGTGTGGTAGCTGGGGTGGGAGTCGGTCGTGAGCTGGGTGGTCTCTGTGGCCGAGGCTGGCTGGATGACGATGGGCGTGTCTGTGGCCTCTGAAAAGGAAGCACACGACACAGGTCACGTCAGGACAGCGGCGGCAGCTCACGCCACTGTCCTCGTGGGCGGCACGTGGCCACTGGGCCACGCTGCTGGGGCCGAGGTCTCAGGACGAGGTGGGAAGGAGAGGCCCAGGGCGGGCCTCGCCCAGCAGTGGCCGCCAGCCCGGGCCCCCCGCGGCCCCTCAGTGTCCGCTTTACCTCCAGGTCCAGTTCACACACAGTCCCGCTGCCACCACAAACACGCCCGCACAGTCAGTGCCCTCCTGTTTGACAAGAGGGTGGACACGCTCAGGGTCCGCTCAGCGTCCCCCACGCTCACTCTGGGCTGGCTCTGGGGTCCGGGGCTGCCGCTCACCCCGCTCGTCGGACTGCAGCTGTGCCTCCAGGTCCTCGGGGGACACGTAGAACTCGGTCTCCTCGCCCTCGGGTGCCCGCGGCTTGCACTTGCCACAGCAACAGTTGAAGCAGCAGCAGAGGCAGCAGCAGCAGTAGCAGCACGTGAACAGCCCGCAGACGACAAACAGGGCCTGCGGGGACAGGAGTCAGCTGGGCCGGGCCGGGCCGGGCCGGGCCGGGGCCGGGGCGGGCCGAGGCCAGCGCCTTACCTTGGCCCACCAGCTGGAGAGCACGAAGTAGGTGTTGACGTTCTCCTCCCCGAACTGCTCGGCCACATAGAGCCCCAGCGAGCCGTACTTGTCGTAGATGTTCCTCTTAGTGGCGTCCGTCAGGATGGCGTGGGCGTTGTTGATCTCCTTGAACTTGTCCGCGGCTTCGGGGTTGTCGGGGTTCTTATCAGGGTGGTACTTCAACGCGAGCTTCCTGAGAAACAAAAGCACGTCTGGGTGTGGTGCTGCCCCTGCCTGCCTTCCACTCACCAGCACCGGGCACTGTGGGCAGCCCCCCACCCCAGAGGCCACAGGCCGCCCCAGTGCCCGGAGGGCTGACTGCGCAGCGCGGGAAGACGGTCACTGCGGCACTGACCGCCCAGATGCCTGCGGGGTGGGCGGGGTCGAGGAGCTAGGGCAGTCTCACGCCCGCTCTGCTCCAGCCGCCAGCCCCTAGGGCACTGCCACCGAGCCCTGCACAAGGCACCGTTTCAAATTATTCTGCCAAGAGAGCACGACTGTGACAGCGGTTATTTTTCGTTTTCTCGGTGGGAGGGCCCGAGGCCTCGGCATGGCTCCAGAGACAGGCCGGTGCGGTGAGGCTGTGGCCCAGTGCTCTCTCCACCCGCACCTGCATCATCTGTTCCTCCTGGTGGTGCCGGGGACTGCGGGGCCGGCCCCTCCAACTCCCACCTCCCACCTGCAGGAGGGCAGGCCCCAAGGAGTCACCCTCTTACCGATAGGACTTTTTAATGTCGTCTGAAGTGGCGTTCTTGTCGAGTCCAAGCACATGGTACAGAGACTCCCCGGAGGTGGACAGTGAGCGCTGCCTCTGGTCAGCCATGGTAGGTCAGCTGCAGGAGAGAGACAGGAGCTGACGGCTCCGCCCACGAGCCTGTCCCCAGCGAGGCAGCACAGCCCCGCACGCTCCAGCCCCGCCCTCACACCCAGGGAAAGTTCAGCACGACAGTGACCCAGAAGCAAGACCTCAGTGGAAAAGGAGGAGTGAAAACCTTCTGCTAAAAACTCCAAGAGGGGCTGCAGTGATAGCACAGCGGGAAGGGTGTCTGCCTTGCACACAGCCGACCCGGGTTTCGATTCCCAGCATCCCATAGGGTCCCCTGAGCACCTCCAGGAGTCATTCCTGAGTGCAAAGCCAGGGTCCAACCCCAGCACCCCAAGCAGGTGACTATGATGGTTCCCTGGGCACCGCCAGTAGTGATTCTTGAGTGCAAGATCAGGAGTAACCCCTATCACCAACAGGTGTGGCCCCAACCCCCGCAAAAAGCAAGGGGGGGTTGGAGAGATGCCCCAGGGGGTAGCGTGGCTGCCTTGGAATCGCCAGTACCCCATCTGGTCCCTAACCATGGCCAGGAATGACTCCTGAGCCACACCAAGTGTGGCTCAAAATACGAAAAGCAAAAGCGTCGCTAGAACAGGGAGAGGGCGCTCGCCTTGCACGCGGCTGACCCGGGTACAAGCCCTGGCATCCCATGTGGTTCCTGAGCACCAACAGGAGTAATTTCCTGGGATCAACCAAGCGTGGCCCCAAAACAATCAATGATAAAGGGGGCTGTGGACAGGAGACCCCACCATTACGAGACCAGAAGCAATAAGTGATGGAGCCAACAGGGATTCAACATTAATATTTATTTGGGGGCTTTTGGAGGACCACACCCGGTGATGTTCAGTGCTCAGGAAGTACTCCCAGAAGGAATGGTGAAACCGTACAGTGAGTGGGCCCTTGTAGTTAGCCGGCCGACCTGGGTTTGATCCTCTGTATTACATATGGTCCTGAGCACAGCCAGGAATAATTACTGACTGAGTGCAGAGCCAGGAGCACTACCAGGTGTGGCCCCAACATCGCACCCCCCCCAACAACATGTATATTCCTGGTGATGCTTGGGGGATCATATGGGCTTCCAAGGATCGAACCTGGTCAACTGCATGCAAGAGGGCCCTGCCCTTGCATGGACAGAGGTAGTGCCTACTGTAATGCCACTCTGACCACATATTGTTACTTCATATCAACTACGTTTCCAAGTGCAAGCGGGTGACTTATCTGAGGCATTCACTTACAAACAAAGACATGAAATTAGTTAGGAGCATATTTCACAAGACAGACCAAATTTCTACAAAGGGAACGATACATTCCCAAGGGAAATGAAAGATCTGAAAACAGGTGTGCCACGCTGAGCCTACAGAGAGCTCTGAGCCTACAGGCACAGGGACGCAGAGGCCCCTGATCCTAAGCCGAGCTGACGTCAGACGCGTGAGCAGCCCAGCCCCATGCCACAGAGCTCGGGACCCATGCGGGGCTGGGATGGAACCAGGTCAGTGCCTTGATCGCGGCACTGCCTGGCCCAACAGGCCGTTACCGAATCACAGTATGTTCACGCCATCGTGAACTAGGGTCCCGACTACACGACCACGGCCAGAGCGGCCGCACCCCCAAGTGAGGTCTCCAGGGAACAAACAGCTGCAGGATCCAACGTCGCCTGCAAGATGTTGGGGTGCCTGTGGCCAGCAGAGCCTGACCCTCACCGCCTGGCCTGGACCGGGCAGGGACGGCACTGACGGGGTGACAAGCACCGAGAGGTGACAACACTGAACTGACGGGAGGGAGGGACACGACAGGTGACCCGTCGCCACGGCAGCCGTGCTCACACACGCACATCGGCCCACCTGTCTCACAGGTGCTCGCATGCTTGGGCCATGGTGCTGGCACGAGGTGGGAGAGCACAGCCTCGGCCCACTGAGGCCCCTGGAAAATCCCTCTCGGTTTTTTCTTTGGGGTGGGACTTGGGCCATGCCTAGTCCTCAGGAATCCAGGCATCAGGGACTCGACAGGGTGCCAGGTGGGTCCTGTGTGCACGGCAAGTGCCTTCCGGCTGAGTCCTCTCTCCGGCCCCAGCAAATCACTAACATGGTCATCCAATTACCAAGTAGTTGGCCTCTAGACCCCTCTCGGAAAACGATCAACAACTAACATTCAGTCCGCTCAATACAAGTTACTGCCTCTGCTCCAGACTTCTGACAGCAGCTGCTCAGTTTGGCAGAAGGGGATTCCCTGCAGCGTCTGCACTTCAGACTTCGATCCACCACACAGACGCCTGGAGGTCCAACTTGACCACCACCGTAAGGAAATTTCCCCGTGCACACCGTGGCGTCTGCCCTGGGCTCCTGGCCTGCCTCCCGACAGGAGGCCCCCCCCGCAGCACGGCCGGGCCCGCACTTCACAGTGCAAGTCTTTGGCGTCTTCTCTAACAGTGCTCAGGACCGCGCAGGGCCACCTCAGAGCCCCCGCCCCACCCACACTTTCTTGGAGGGAGGGGATGTTCGGGTCACAGTCCTTGTGGCGCAGCCTCTGGACGGCGGGAGCCCAGGGATGGGGGGCGGGGGGCATCCCAGGTGCTTTTCCAGCTGGAGCCTCCTTATCTTCGCTAGGGACCACCTGGGCCGCTGTCAGCCGAGGGCCAGATGGAGGGTCAGCGAAGGGAACCAGTCAGCCTCAGTTTCCTAAGCAGCAGCGACCCGGCCCACCAGAAGTCCGCCTTGTCCCCCAGTGTGAGGCGGAAGGGCAGCGGTGTGGCCCAAGAACCCCTCCCTGTTTTCCCTGGTGCTGCAGGAAGGCCAGGCTGCTCCTCGTGAGCAGGAGGGGCTTCAGGGTGGACGCCCGGCACACCGTCTCCAGCGCTGCTCTTGGCTCAGGTGCTGGGGCAGGGAGCGGCCCCAGAGCTGTGGCCAGCCCAGTCTCACAGAGCACTGTCCTGGGATGCGACCTCTGGTGCTTTCTGGGGTCCCAGCACTGCTGGAAGGCGCCCGGGTCCCACCTACCCCGCCTTCCTCCCACACAGAATCCGCCCACCTCCCCGTTCCCCAGCACTGACAGTCCGTGAGGAGTGCAGCAGATTAGCTGAGCCCGGGAGCAAGCAGATGACACAGAGGCTCAGCCAGCGCCCGGCGAGTGGCGAGGGCCGCTTGGCGCTGCCTGGGAGCCAGCCGGGACCCTCCCGGGCCCAGCTTTTAACTTTTCTTCCTTTGAATTCTGGGGCCCTACTCCGCTGCGTTCAGGGCTTACTCCTGGCAGGGTGGGGGCCCTGCGGAGTGCCCCGGGCTGAACCGGGGCGGCTGGTGCGAGGCGAGCACTCTACCCACCCCGGGTTTCACCATCTCGACACTTCCTTAATTCGCTAAAATGAGCTGGCCCGTGCCAGGGGGTACAAACACAGGTCGAAGGCGACCTCAGGTCTGGCACCGCGGGGAGGCACCTGCGGGACACGCGGCCAACCCGGGTTCGATCTCGAGACCCATTTGGTCCCGAGTCCCACCAGGAGTGACCCCTGAATGCAGAGCCAGGAGTAACCCGAGGATCGTCAGATGTGGCCCCAAGCCAAAAGAATAAATGACAAAGATGACCTCAGCAGCCTGAGAGACCGCACGCCCGTGTCCAGTGCGGGTAGGGTTCCCAGCTTCCAAAGGGTCCTCAGCCCTGCCAGGAGTGACCCCAGCACAAGCCAGGGTCAGCCGTGAGCACAGCTGGGCGTGGCCCGCACCAAACAGAACAGACACAATCTCAGGACACCGCGAATCCGAACCCCAGGAGGCTGCAGTCCGCAGCTCTCCTCAGCCCACCCCCAGCCCCCAGCCCACCCCCAGCACCACAGGGAGTCGTGGTGTGACAGAGCCTCAACGACCAATGCCGTCCCCCCGGCCCAGATGGCCCCAGCTGCCCCACAGACAGCCTTCTGAAGCGTTCTGAAGCGTTCCAAGGGTATTTCCCATTTTCTCTTTGGGTCACGACCCCCGGCAGTGCTTGGGAGACCATGTGAGATGCTGGAGGTTGAACTCGGGTCGGCCGCGTGCAAGGCAAATGCCTGCTGCTGTGCGATTGCTTCGGCCCCCCGCAAAGGTATTTCTGAGACCCACGTCCAGACTGGAGCCCGTTCCCTGGGAGTCCCAGAGCCAGCTGAGCCCAGCAGGAGCACGAGGGCAAGCCCTGAGCACCCTGGGCTATGGCGCCCAAACCAAACACATTTTACAAGAAGCACACAGGTCTCTCTGCCTAGAGGCAGAAGCCCTGACTCTGAAACTTAAAAACCAGGAAATTCTAACACTGGCGCTTCCTGTGTTCGCCGGTGGGGACGACTCTGCTTCCCTCAACACCAGCCAGTTTCCCTTTTCTCAGGCTGGGCAGTGCCAGCCGGGCAGCCTGGGGTGGAGGGCCCGCCTGCAGCCTGCAGAAAGGCCCGGCTCCTCCCCAGCATGCGCAAGGTGGCCCCACCGTGTCAGGCCTGGCGGGCAGCAGGAGCCCAGGATGAGGGGCAGGGTCAGCACCCCTGGGGCCCGGCTCCTCATGCAGCCAGGACTCGGATGGTGCTGGGCAGCACCTCTGAGGGGGACGCCAGCTCAGCCGACTTGCGGGGGAGGAAGTGCCCCAACAGCAGAGGGAAGGCGACTCAACACGGCGGCCCACTGAGAAACGCCACGTGCCCCCAGGAGGCTGCACACCACCCAACGGACCCCACCTGGCGGCAAGTGAGGCGGCCCATCCGTACCGCCAGGCCCTCCACACGACACCCAGCACCCACAGGAGCAGCCCACCCCGCGGGGAGAGCCAACAGGCAGGGTCCACTGGGCCCTGCTGTGTGGGCATGAAGGCCTCCTGGGCCCGACAGGCGGCCAGGACTGACCTCTGGGCACTGCTCAGTGTGGCCACTCACGTCCACACCACAAAAACACCTTCCAAAAGGAGAACAAGCAGAAGGCCCCAGCGAGGCAGGTGCAGCCCCTGTGGGAGCCTGGCCCCAGAGCACACGCAGAACACAGGTCCGCCGTCCCACGGAGGCCACAG